AGATACAGCTTTCGAAACACAATATTATTGAAATATAGATGATTGGAAAAGTCCAAAATACCACTTTTATGGATACATATTATAAAGTAGTATAAAAACAAAATATGGTCTACTGGATAATACAACCACCAGCTTTCTGGTATTATTTTCTGCATTCAGAAATTGTTTGGCATGCTATAAGGAGGGTCTCTCAAATTTTAATTAGTCTTTCTGTTTGGTGTTCTATTAAAAAATGGTCATGTGTATTTTTTAATCTGCATCTTTTAGCTGTGATTATGGCTCAGTCAGTACTATTTTGACTGAAAGGATGACAGAAAATTTGGGAAGCAATGTGCTACAAAGTACTAGTTGTTGCTTCAGCTCATCCTTACACAACATATCCCTGCTGATTAAATCAGTACAACTATATTTTAAATCATCAATGTCCAATGATGCTTTCACCAGTGTGGTTCATCTTGTAACATACTTTCTTCATTCTGCTACTTTTGTATCTGTGCCCATTCTTTCTCCTCTCTCTTTTATATATGTCTATCATTTGGTCCCTTCCCCACAGTTCTTGGTTCTTTATCACAGCTATATTTTTAAACTCAAAGGGAAGCCTATTTTTATCCATGTGCAGCAACTTAAATGTAGTCATAAAATCACTAAACATGCATCTCAGCCCTTTCATAAAAAGGTTTGTCCCACCCAAATCATCCAAATTCACCACCAAATCCTCATTTTTGGAATAAAGAAACTGCAATCTTAAATACCTCGGGCATCGTTGATTTGACTTCTCTGTACCTCTATCCCACATCTGCTGTTTCCTCTTAAACTCCACTTCTTCATGTGACATCTCCATACTAACTTCTGTAGAAGCCTCTCGCCAGCCTGCAGCAACAACCATTAGGATGACTTAAAAATCTGTACCAAATCCTACTCACTAAATTAAAAATTCATTCACCATCCTACAGCACTTTAAAAAATACCTTATTTATGGCTGCACACAAAAGTTGAACCATTATTTTGCAAATTATAATTGGATATTACAAGGATTTTAAAAAATGAATGGTTTAAAGTTTTTAAAATTTCTCACATTTTTTTATAAAAAAGGTTTATTTGTAAAAAACAAATAAACACCTATGTGGATATAAAATACAGAATGGCCACATCATTAGCAAGCATGTAATCAACTGAACTATCCCTGAAGGTACGAAAATTCTTCACTTAAAAAGAATATGAAACAATGGTAAAGAAAGTGGAAAATGAAACTAGGTTTTCTAAAGAAATGGTGGAGTGTCTACACCTAACACTTTGGCCAGGAGTCAAAGGAGGGTCCATTGCCACACTGCAAAATCGGAGCTGAATTGGAGGGCAATAATCGACTGGGTCTCCTTGTCAGAATTCTTGAATATAAGTCTCAGAGCATCAATGCTACAACCTACTGACATCAGCAGATATGGAACAAAAATTTTCTTTCCTTACTGCAATAACAATCTGCCATGTAATATGATTCCTTTGTACTCTATGAAACTATCAAAGTACATACTTTTACCATCTATTTACTTGCCACCAGTAAAACCATGTCTCTATACACTGAGAAAGTTAGTTCACTTTAGGTTGGTAGAGATTATATTAGGCTGAACATCTGCAGACAAAGCCTTTTGTAAAGCATCATTCCAGCAAAACAAATGAATTACCAGAATGCTTTATATGATACTCTTCAAGTCATTGATCCAAAATAAATAGAAAGCAACTTAAAACAAACTTGGATCATTTCACATGGCTTGTAACCAACTCCAAGTTTTAATATACATATTATATCTATATAATACAATGACCAGTTGGATTTAAGTTACAATGATCTTTGTAATGGCTAATAAACAAAAATATGTATTTGACACTCACATGAATGTTTACATGAGGTTTTATGTACAAATTAAAACAAATTAGTGACTAACATGCAATGATCACTACACTGTAAAACTTCTGCAAACACTCACCATCATCTTTAGTTGGAGAATTGTACATGGACAACTGGTTCTGTGTTCCAGTAGTTTCTTGGGCTGTGTTACAAGACAATAACTGGTCACCAATATTCACATGTGGTCCTGATGAGTTATCATACAGTTCCACAAGCATAACATCATTCGGCAACTTGGCCTTCACCAACATGGTCAAAGTCTTGTTTAAAGTTATCTCTTCAAACCTGACTGCCAAGTCCTCATTCTTATTCTCTTCCAACCCACTCAGACAACATGGTATAGCTTGTGTATACAGAATCTTTACATAACTTGGATCAATGCACTTGAGAGATGACAATGGTACTGAATCTTTGTTTCCATAGTCAACATACATTATTTCAGCCAAACCAGATGAGAATGACAGTACTTTTGCCCTGTACCATTTTTTATCTTCACTATACAGAGCACAACAGGGTAACCCAATCTGGATTTGATCAACATCCAAACATGGAGCTGTATCAGAGCAAATAGCTTCAATTGCTGACATCACAGAGTTCAGTGCTTCCGCATTTGCTTCAAATTGAATATAAAACATTGACACATCTATCACATACGACACTTTAACGGAATCTTTCAATCCAACCGGCATTATTGGCATCACTGGGTAGTAAAGGGGAACTTGTTGAGCCTTCATTTTCTGAACAAGCAAATCCAACACATTTGTACCATTAAGCTTCAACTCTCCATACTGCTTGAGGGGAGGACCCTCTGGTGGTACAACCCGCAAATGTAACAGTTTTTCTGTCACTAGTTTTTTGAAGTATGACTTTATCTCATTAGTAATGGTTAGATTTTTAAGACCAGCTAGAGCAAAACGTAAAGCCATCACTTTTGGAGTAATAAACTGTTGGGGTAGTTCAAAGATCTCCGAGTATGGAAGAATTTCTGAATTGCCAAAATCCACATAATACAGCCTGCATTTGTCATCCAAGACAGCCATGACAACTGCACGGCACAGTGTCTTGTCTTCTGTGAATCTCCCGAGACAGGCAGAACCCGGCAATAATGGCTGAGTCAAAGGAACTGCTGGGGAATTATTCATCTCATCCATAAAAGCTGAAAGCATTTCCTCTGCAGCTTGCAGTTGAATTGCAAAGGATGATGGGCCATCTTCAACAAAAGACACATAAACCATGTGTTCTGAGTTCAGTTCCAACACTGGACTTGTGAAAATGCGCACAGTTTCTCGAACTGAAGATGCATTCCTCAACACTTGTTCAGAATTGCTTTCCAGTCTTACTGCTGGAAGAATGGGCACTGCCTGACCCTGTAACTGACTCATTAACAACCTTGCAGGTGGTGGTACAGCAATACCTGAAAATTGTGGTGGTGCACAGTCCAAGCCAAAATAGCCCTGAAGAAGAGCTTGATATGCAGGAATTGTTATTGCTATTCCAACTTTATTTGCTATCAGAATTTGGGCAAAATCTTCATTATTGTAAAAGACTTTTATCAACCGCTTATTTCCAATCTGAGCAATTACCACACTCTTTAACTCTTCATAGCACAATGCCCGCCGAATATATGCCAAACTGTTCTCATCCCATTTGCTTGTGAAAGGTATTACACCGGCCAAAAAAAATTCTGTTGCCTGATCACTCAAACGGGTTAGCAAACTTTCTTCCAAGGATCTGATATCGCGAGCAGACACAACTTCAGAGTTACCATAATCTATGAAATGTACAGCAACTTGCCCCACAGACGCATCGGGAGGCCTTGTAACACGAGCACGGTAATACACACCATCGCTGTATCTCGCACAACACAACTGACCTACTTTAATAGTAGAAGGTATTCCTAAACCCCTTTCAAACTGCTCTGACAGCTGCAAAATTAAACGTTCCACTAATGTGGCTTGAGTTCGTTCCAATTGAGCCCATATTCTCAAAAGCGGGCCATCGGTCTCAATGTACGTAACAAAAATATCTACTGGTTGTTGTAATATACTCATTTTCTCTCGAATTTGAATCTCAACGTAAACACAAACTGCAAATTCACACGACTGTACTCCACATCTTGTTTACATATTTAACACGCCAAATCACTTTTAACAGGTACAAATTAACGTCATCCACCACACCAAGCGCAAAATCTCACAGAGAACAAAACAAAGTAACACTGGAAAAAATGTTAGCATGAAAGTACATATCTTGAGACGTACACAATAGCTATCACAGATGGCAGCAATGATGACCAACCGTGAACACGTCTGATATCATATGGCTTGTAAAAATATGAAGATGGTAGAAATTTACATTATCCCATTCCTCTTGCCCAATTCCTTCGAATCTCTGGCGACAGATACTCGACGTCCTTAATTTTAAATGTTTGCAACCCATTGTTTTACATCTACCCAAATAAGTTCATTGGGGTTTAAATAGGAGTGGTACGGCAGAAATCTCAGCACAGTACGTTCTTTGTCTGCTAAAATCTGATCAATCACATAATATTTGTGCTTTAATTTAATTAATTTGATTAAATTGTACGGTTGAACTTTGAACATGTAACAAAATGGGATGTTTCTTTGATTGAGACATCGGTGGTTTGTCTGTCTGAGTGTTGTGATACGAGGCGTTATCAATGAACTGAAAGGAGATTGCAAGGAACAGGTGGCATGTTGTTAACACAGCACAATCCCAAGACAATATCAGGCTTCCACACTGCTGCACTGACACAGACTGTACTGACCGACAGAAACTCCTTCCTTCCTTCATTGAGTGGTCCACATATTAGGCTCTCCCTACAAGGTCAGCAGCCATAATCGGTGGATCCAGTTGTAACGAATAATGTGGATATCAGGTACTCTCAGCAACGTGTATGAAAATTCTAGGATATTGTGAAGTGTAACATACATGCTGCATGCTGTAAACCTAGGAAATTCACAAGGTTCGTAGCAGACAATTTTAACAAAAGTTATTGCAATGATACAATCTCAATCAAATTTGTTCTATGACTGTGGACATTGCATGTCTTGCTTCAATGTCTTAAAACATACAATAGGTGAAGAAACTGGTTTATTGATATTGCATTGAAATGAAACTGCAGTCAACATAATGGAACTAACTTTCCTTTCTGCAACCAAGTGTGCTGCAAACCAAAATGAATGCTGATTGATTTCTGAAATTACAAGTGGCACTGTGAGTTTGCTCTACAAGATCACATTAAATACCATCTCAATTTACAAGCACTGAGATGTCTCTGTGATGCCATGCACTGTAAACACACAAAAGTATGAATCCAGCCAACCAACAAATTCACCATAACAATACAAATGACAATGCAGTCCAGCTTAGTGTGGAAATTTGTAGTAAAAACAGCAATGCATAAGTGAGACAGGCTTCCTATTTACCATATTTTGTTTCCTGTAACTTTCTGTTCACCAGTTTAAAATAACATACAGCAAATATGGTATCCTCATCAAGTCAATTTTTATTTTTCATGCAGATGCCATCTTGTTGCTTTACATTATACAAAAAATTACTGCACCCAAGCAACAAATTTTTTCAAAACTCTATTACTGCACATCCATGTATGAACCTGCAGTAAGTGACACTACTGCTGATCGCATCTCAAAAGTGTGCCATGCTCGTATTACTGATTACATTGAACTTAGTGTGCAAAGTCCATTATCCTCAAGACAAGTACTGCATTAAAAATTTAATACACCCTGACCTAATACCAGCAACAATTTCTATCAGTAGTTGGTTACACCTACAACACAATGTTACAACCAAACATTACCACTAAGACATGATGTTTACTGGTGTATAAAACATGGCATATCATGACATAAAAATGCAATTTTTAATCACAGCAAACAAAAATTATCTCTCTCTTGAAGTTAGATGGCTATGACAATTTTAATTACATGTCTACACTAAAAATTAGTTTGGGCCAGCATTTTAAAACATGCTACAAATTTTTCAAGAAGATATTAGTCAATAACAATGTGAAAACAAATCACAACTGATCCTCATCTGAGGAAAAGGTAAGCACCCATGGTGAAGGTACAACCCCAGAAAAGTCTGGCAGTTCTTGGTGCTCATCCCCACTCCCTCTTTCATCTTCATCACTACCATCTGAAGCACTGACATCGTCTCTGAGGCTCAGGGATCTGATCTGTTCAACAGCCCTGTGAAGCGACTCTTGTCGATCTGGTGTTGTATCTCCACTGACAGCTCCACCAGCTGGAGTCTGGGGTGTGTTTGTTGGTGGAACTGGGGTAGGAGTCATGGCTCCATCAGCAGTAACTTGAAGAACAGGACTCTTTGGCCGGACTTCCTCTTCCACTTGGTCTTCTGTTGCCTGCTGGTAGCCTTCGAATCTCAAACCAGCAACACCTTTCTTTGGAATTGTGGATAGGTCACGTTTGATACGTCGGCGACGAGAAGGATCATTTCGTCGTATCTGAAGCATTGCATCAAAATCGGCAATGTACAGCAAACCTGCCACAAGAAGTTCACACATCCTTTCTCCTTTCTTATAGGCTGCCTCCAGTTCTCGACTTGTGCGCTCATCATATTGCCACCAGCCTGCAAAGAGCCATAGATTTAGTAAGACCAAAACAACCCATGACCTTAAATTTATCTTGATTCATTACTTAATATATTCTGTGCGACTTCACAGTCATACAATACACACATAATAATAAGAAAAAGGGAAAAATTCTTCAACCTTGCCTTACAAAATAAATTATTATATACTGTCATTAGTTTTATAGATACCTCCCAAACTCATATAGCCATCATATATAAAACCCCACCTATGCATGGAAAGCTAGAGTAAAATTTGCACAGCCCAATTCTAAGTTTCAAGGCTATAACTTCAAAATACACCTAACTTAAATGTCAATAACAATACAGGTTCAGATCACACAAAAGAAACCAATTTAACATGCAATTCGATAATGAAGAAGACACAAACGTTCTACACATGAATGAAATTTTGGAATACTGTTTAGAGTTCTGATCAATGAAAGATAAATAGGTATTTGTTTATCCAAATAATCTTGGCCCTTCCTAGCAGTTCTTACTAAATCTATGCTCAAGTATAAATGTTGGCATGTCTATTCCTTTCATCGCAGCCCAGCAATGCCTTTATTTTCAGCTGTTTTCATATCACGTTTGATTCTTCGTTTTTTTGTAGGTTCATGTTTCCTGTATTGCTGCGAGTTTTTAAAGTCAATCACATACAAGGTCCCACATATAAGCACCTCACAACTTGATTCTCCAAGTTTAAACATTTCCTCAAGATCCACATTTGTGCGTTCATCATACAGCCACCAACCTAGGACAGGAATTCATAAATAAAACTGTGAACTTAAATATTCTTCATGCAACACTATTTCCTCTTTTCCCACTACTTCTACTATTAAACACTGCATGTGTGTACTCCATCTGGGCAGAAGTGGACATGTATGACCCATCACATCACTAATGTTAGGATAATTTATTTTGCTTCCCATTGCTCTCCTTGACCTTACTAAATTTTCTTTTAAAAACTGTCAAAATTCTTATATTATCCTATCATAATCTAATGCTTACCAAACGTTCTACTTCCTGATCAGTAAATCATGTTCCAAGACACTGGTTTCAGAATGTTTTAAAATGTTTTAATAAGATGGCAGTATGAATTATTCTGTTACATGACAGTCGAAATTGCAAAACAGGGACAGTATGCTATAAGCTGCAGAAATATGAATATAACTCACTTGCATAAATTAACCTCTTCCTTCTCTAAGGTTATATTTGTAAGGAGAAGATACAGAGAAAATAAAGATGGAACAAAAAGAAAAATATCACAGTAAAACTTTCACAGATTTATAAAAATGGCAAACAACTATTTTCATTACTACCACATATCAAATACAACTTTAGAAAAACTTTACAACAGTTACTGCTTAAACATGTGTGTGAATTTTAGCTTTTATTTACAGTTATTATAACAAACATAAACCATTCTAACACCCACAACCTTTCACTCAATTTGGAACTTATTTACACTTCTTAGCTTCCATACAAACATTCTAACATGCCCACATATATCATAACACATTCCTTACATACTTATATTTCTAAGAGCCATAATAAGTGTTATCAAAATGAGAAAACTTATAATCGAGTGATCAAAATTTAGTAATTACTAAAGCTTTTTGCAAGTAGGTGTCGAACGACGCCAGAGAAGCGTGCAAAAAAAGAGAAATACAAAAAACTTACCATTTCTTCCTTCATAAAACCACTGATAGCCATCATCAAGTTCAGCAATGTCTTTTTCTGTATTATTTTGTGCTACTAGGACAGGCTTTTCAAAATAATCTGCTGGAATTTCATGACGACACATTGCACATTTCTTGCTTTGATTTGCCACACCCTTTACGCACAAAAAGCAAAAAATATGTCCACAGGGCAATTGTGCAGGATGAACACAGGACTGCAAGCACACTGCACATTCAAGAATTGATGAACCTAAAAGCAAATGCAAAGTACTGATAAATGTGATGAAACAAAGTAGTTCATTAATTTGTGTTATAAATGCCAAAATTAAAAGAACGTGCTTCTAAAAACTCTCATTACCTACATTTACAAGGGCAAGTTTTAACAAGCACTGCAACTATATTTAAAAATTTTCCAAATATCTTCAGTATATGAACCACTACCTATGTTTTCTATTCCCAGAGTCCTTTTGTCGCTTTCATTTCCTTCTATTGGTCTACTTTCAGCCATTCTTTTACATTAATATCAATGGCTTATTTTATAAACCTGGAATCCAGAACAATGACACAACATCCAACATCATCTACCGCCATAGATAACCTACCACAGATCACAGAAAATACCAAGATGATTAAAGTTTACTAATTTTTTGATCGTCAGTAAGCTGGTCACAATCGGATGTATCTAAGACCAGGAAATCTCCGAAAGGAGGTACTTATTCTCTGGAAAAGAGCGATAGGAAGTAAAGAAGATTGTTTCAGGATATTGTGTGACATGGAACCCACCGAAAACTTCTGCGCCATGTATTATGAATTATGGGAGTTCCTGTAATTGAAGTTCTCGTCAACAATGTGTCACCATTATCAGCGTCTGGGATCGACATTCTATGCAGCCATTCAAACGGTTTGGTAGAGAAACCATAGTAATAGTCACGGGTCGAGATTCCAATATAAAGTATTAGTTGTAATGGCCTAGTATCGAAGTCTCAAAACTACGTTTTAGTGTTCCGTGGTCAAAGCCACCATGCATGTATTGTAATGGTTTGTGAATGACCGATGATCTGTGATGGAGATCCCCTACATTGCGATCATAATGGCCGTAGATCGAGCCCACACCACACCAATACAGCGATTATAATGGTCTTCGGCCGAGGGTTGTAGCCGTTATAATGGTCTAGGATGGAAGCCCTTGCTTTGCCATTATAATGGTTCGGATCGAGGTCGCTATTAGCTATTATAATGGTCTATGGTGGAGGTCCTGTATAGCCATTATAATGGTTTACGAAGACGACTTCATTATCTGTTATGGTGGTTTGGGATCACGCGTTGTCTGTAGCCAGTATAATTGCATGGAATGGAAGCCCCTATAGCCATTACAGTCGAAGATCGAGCAGCCTGTGCCTCTATGTTCATTATAATGATCTGGGGTCGATGTGCACATATTTCAGTGTAACATTATAGTGGTCTGGGATTGAGACTCTCGCTTAGACGTTATAATGGTCTGGAATGGTGGTATGTATGAAGCCATTTTAATGATCTGTGATATAGGACCACCCTGTCCTCCATGCCAGCCCATTATAATGTCAGTACAGTTTTCAATGACAACTGATTTTAATGGCTGTAAAGAGACTTTCATAACGGCCCTCATATGACCCCATTTTAATGGCTATATTGAGACCTCAGTACCATCCATAATGGGTTACATAGACCCTCCATACTAGCCAATTACAATGGTTATAGCTACACACAAGCTTTCATATCCGACTGTTATAACTGCCATATATGGGCCTCTATATAAGCCTGCTACAATGGTTTTAAGAACCTATACACCCAACTGTAATAATTCTTGTATAGGGTCCTATTTACAGGACTGCTAGAAAAAGGCTGAGGATGTGAACCACATTGGAAGATTTGAACATAAAATCCATCAGCATGTTTCTGCAGGGAATTTCTTTATCAACTGTATAACAATCAACAGGTTTAGGAAGACAACAATGAAGGTAGTTAGTTAATGTAGCTGTCAGTCCTGCTCTAAAGAAGTGGGGAACAGAAATCATACTTTTTCACTTTAGAGATACAAGTGGATTTTGTTTTGGAACCAATACCTGGATATCATTATGTTATATTTTAACAAAACCAAAGGACAAGCCTGAATACTTTCTTTTAGTGAAGTATGTTGTTTGTCTCCATTGCTCTTTAACTTTGTGTTAGAATACACCATCAGGAAAGTCCACGACAGGCAGCAGGGTTTGCAATTGAATGGGACACATCAGCTATTGGCATATGCTGATGATGTTAATTTATTGGGTGACAATATAAATACAATAAAGAAGAACACACAAGTTTTTCTAGAAGCTTGTAGAAAGGTGGGGCTAGAAGTAAATTCAGAAAAAACCAAGTACATGTTAGTATCCTGTCAGCAGACAGGAGGGAGAAATCATATTAGGGTGGCTATTAAATCCTTTTAAAATGTGACAAAGTTCAAATATTTGTGGGGAGGGAGGGGGTTATTTATTAGAAAATTCGGAGGAGACTAAATTCTGGAAAAGCTTGCTACTTGTCAGTTCAAAATATTTTGTCTTCCTGTCTGACTTCTAAGAACCTAAAGATTAAAATACACAATAATTTTGCCTGTTGTTTTGTATGGGTGCGAAACATGGTTACTCACTCTCAGGGAGGAACATAGATTGCATGTGTTTGAGAATAGGGTGTTGAGGATGATAATTGGACCTAGGAGTGAAGAGGATGGGGTATGGAGAAAACTGCATAATGACAAGATTAAAAATTTGTACTCCTCCCCCAATATTATCAGGGTGATTAAGTTAAGAAGACTGAGGGTTTGAGAATAGGGTGTTGAGGATGATAATTGGACCTAGGAGTGAAGAGGATGGGGTATGGAGAAAACTGCATAATGACAAGATTAAAAATTTGTACTCCTCCCCCAATATTATCAGGGTGATTAAGTTAAGAAGACTGAGGTGGGCAGGGCATGTGGCGTGCATGGATGGGGCAAGAGGTGTGCACTGGGTATTGGTCAGGAAACCTGAAGGGAAGAGACCACTGGGAAGACCTATATGTAGATGGGAAGATAATGTCATGCAGGATCTATGGAGATAGGAGTTGAAGGTGACTGGATTTTGCTGGCCCAGGACAGGGACCAGTGGGGGGTTTTGGTTAATTCGGTGATAAACTTTCGGGTTCCCTAAGCCATGTAGTTAGTTAGAAGTATGTTGTGAGGATGTAACATAGACTGCATGGCTCAGTTATGACAAATGGTAGGCTTTGGTACCAGCAATAATGAACCTATAGTTTATATTATAAAAGAGCAAAACTAGAGCTTGAGGTGTCCATATTTTTCAGAGACTAGTTGCACCAGGTGGAAATTGGTAATGGTTCCATTGTGATACATGACAATAAAAGACTATAGGACCATCTATTATTTTCACATTTTTCTTCAATCACATGTCTATTTTGTTTGCTTGTGGTACACAACCTGCAAAACAAGGAGGTTGACTATTTTGCATTAACTCTGAATCAAATCTCGAAACAGATGAAACTAGGCTAACAGTTCAGAACTGTAAAGTGTTTTGAAGCAAAATTAGTTTCATTATTTCACATCTCCAACTCAGGAATCATACTTAACTATGTCCACTCCTATGTTAAGATTTGAAAAGAATACTGCCAGTTCCTTAATTAACGAGGCCTACTTCTATCGTCAGATGTCATCTACTGAAGCAAGTCTGAACTCCATGCTCTTAGATCTATTCTTATAGGAGTAATTCTGTCAAGCTGGTCATATAGGCTTCTTCTTTCTCATCACTTTGCCTGCATGCTCTGAAATCTGAAGGTAAGACAGACCGTTTGTGGGGACACAATCACAGATGTACTCATAGTATACTGTCAACTGCTCAGCTCAAGTAAATGTCCCTTTTTATTTTTTGAGGTAAAACTATGTGCAAGTCATAGGGCTTGCCTTGCATTGTTTACATATATTGTGTCTCACCACAAATTCTCTGTGTCACCTTCATATTTCAGAGAAGGCAGGCAGGCAAAGTGATGAGCAGGAAGAAGCATGTATGGCCAGCCTTTAAATGGAGAGTAGCCAATTTCAACTAACTGTGGAGTGGAAACAGTTAAAGCCATTTATGAGAACCTATTTATCAACCATGTCTAAGGCTCATTCACTGGAAATATCAAAAGACTTTCTAACAAACTCTGGAAGTTAAATGCCACAAACATTTCCTTTCTTTGTGCAGACACTGGGCATCCCTGAGTCATGAGGTGCAACAAACTAGCTATAAAATAGTATAAATTATTAATTACACATAACACAAATCAGCTTGTAGACCTTCAAAATCATTTTCTTCTACAACATAAACAGGTATTGAAATACTGATCAACTACACACTGATAATTTTCATCAAATGTGTGAATACATACTATAATGAAGTATGCAAGCATATTACTATACACAAAGATTTATCTATGTACATAATATTGTATATATAACTTTCTTTCATCATAGTACTAAAACTATTGTTTTTTTTTCCCTTTTATATCAACTACACTGAACCTTTAACCCTCATTGCATAGACTTGGATATAATTGTACTATAATTTATGGTAAAACATTCAAGTCCACTTTCTACATGTTTGAAAACATTTGTCATCTTCTACAACAGATACAGATTACATTACACTATAATAATAATCATTACTATTACCACAAACAGAAAAGAGTATTTAAAGGTAATTAACTTTCATACAGCTCTAAAAGTGACATCTGAAGTGTGGCTGCAGTTAGATGGCAGTGATACATATACCAAATCTACAGCTGTTTCTTGGTACAAACATAGGAGTTTAAACTCCTTTTAACTTTGTTATTTCTGTTATTGCTGCAGAAGTTTATTCACAAACAAGGAATGCACAAAAACTGAAGCTATTATAACATAACAGGAATACTGCAATAGAAGAATAATCTTTGATCAGTCTTTGCTCTGAAAATCTACAATTCATGAGCTGCCTATTATTGATATTTTCTCGAGTGTGTGTACGTTACACCTGAATATGCTACACCAAATAAAATAATGCAAAAGGAAAATGTAATATGAGTATAATGTAGCAGCTAAAACAACATATACTTTAATTCAGTAAACACTAAACACTTCACGTTTCAAGACATCAGTTTCACACATTCCTTTCACAGTAACCTAGTTGTTTCGTAATTACAGATAGCTAGAGTAAGGTCAAACGGTGCAAAGGAACTGGATTCAGACAACTTTCCTTTTCCATCCATGACAGAAACAACACTGCATCAGAAGCTATCCACAGCATTATGGTAGTATTCTTATCAAATGAAAGTAACAACTCATAGACCTGAACAATTAACAAAGGTCTGATGTCTACACTAACATAATGTTCCATGTCTATAACAGTTCATACCAATATCTGTTCCTTCTCCTTACACCCAATAAAGAACCAGTAATCACATCTTAAAATGTTCATTCCCATTCAACAGTTTTTCAAATAACTTCACAAACCACATTCAAGATACAAAGGCAACCAGATGTAAAATACACTATATAACTTAACATATCAGTTTATGAATTTTCTCTCTCACTGTATTAACCCTTTACATGCTAGTGAACCATGTCAATCAGACAAGTTCTGCTGGCTCTGATAAGATCCAATCTGGCTAATACTTAGAGGCTTGTTTCTTATTGCATGTACTGTATTTTTCCAGAATATCAGACTCTCCTTCCTCAAAAATACTACCCAAAAGAGGGTATGCATCTTATGGCCCAAAGGTATAGAAGGTTTTTCCTTAAAACTTTCTCTCTAAAATCTGTCTTATACTTTGATGTATCTTTTAGTCCAGCAAATATGGTACACACATTAAGCAATGGCAATAGGATGCAACACTTTCTGCTAAAAATCTTAGGCACAGAGGTCTCTCTCATGTTATTCAGTTTCTGAGACACAAACCAACAATTCTTGTAGACCCTGTGGCACTAGGTTCAGTGGTAAGAGGGTTAACAGCATCACAACATATGTATGGTTTGCTATAACAGAGCAAAATAAGAATATATTTTCCACTCACTGGGCTGATGCAGTTAATGAATAAACATCTTACTAATTATATTAGTTGAAAGTTATTAAAAATAAAATATATCAGAGTATCCAATACTGAGCCCAAGTTAACATTTTTGTAAAGATTTCCTGTACAATTAATGCATTTTAACTTACTGCCAGGTTAAATCCATCGGAACACAGTAGACCTAAATGTTTTACTGCTGCATTAAGACAATAAAATGTAGAACAGTTTTAAAAGTGTATGGGTCATTTAAATTAACTGGTCTGCTATACTGAGGCACTATAGACTAAAAATGATGCAGCAAATAGTTAACTACACCAATGTGTCCATACTTCAACTTAAACAAATTTCCACCACAACTGTCTGGTAGTCTTGTATTTTTGTACTTTGAAATCTAGCAATAACAACAAATACATACGTAGGATCACTGAAAAATTAGAATAAAAAAACAGATGTAACTAACTGCCAAGAAAACAAGAATAATAAAATAATATAGGCCTGTACTTCAATGGCTTCACAGCTGCAACAAAACTCTGCAGTCTTGACTAAAAACATCAAGGATTTCAAGTATCAAGTAACTTCTGTCAGCATTCCCCACTAAGAGGTGTTTCATTTATGCCGGTGTTAGCTATAAAACGAAAATACTGCAGTGGTGTTCTGTACCACGATACGGCGAATTCCAGGCCACACCCAGTGGACAGCACCTTGCATCTTGTGCCAAACCCACAGTGGAAGTGAGCAAGGGTCAGCATGATACAGGAGTCCACAGTAGTGCTTCAAATAGTCAGTGAGTACTCATTAAGGAAAATCACTATTGCCAAATACCTAAGTATCACCCTATTACTTTATAATGGCAGTGAGGGGAAAGAAAGATGCTGAACTTTAATATCAGCAGGGGAAGAAAGGTAGTAGAAGTGCTAAGACACATTAACCATCTATTACCATGGAATTTACTGCAGTGCTATCATGCAGGATGTTTAGACTGACCAAATCTCTTGTTCAGTTGTCTATAAAATAATAGGATATTATGTTAGTCACTTTCCACACAGCAAACAAAACATTAAACAAGCAATTACAGTACTTCTTATTAGTTGTTTCAAGAAAAAAATATCAACAATCCTGTGTTAAGTTGGTACAGTTCAAACTTGTAAATAACTGTGACAAAGAATATAAAATCATGCATACAAACAAAATTGTTTACACTTGAAAGGACACTAATGCCAAATGTGATTCGACCTCAAGAGGTCATCATCAGAGGCAAAAAAAATTAATTCATATAATACAATTCAAAAGACTATGGTTTTCTACAGAGCATAGAAGGTATGTACTTTACAAAACCATACTTATGTAACACCTCACTGGACATTAATTGCACAGGAGTTGGTGTATTAAATTGAGTACTTAGCTTTTATGTCCACTGGTCTGATTGCTGTTGTTGGTCTACAGTGAGTCGTGGTTGCATCATCTGTGCCTTGAACTCCTGTGAATTAACGTTCAGTGAAGTGTTACATAAGTATGGTTTTGTAAAGTACATACCTTCTATGCTCTGTAGAAAACCATAGTCTTTTGAATTGTATAATATGAATTAATTTGTTTTGCCACTGATGATGACCTCTTGAGGTCGAATCACGTTTGGCATTAGTGTCCTTTCAAGTGTAAACAGTTTTGTTTGTATGCATGATTTTATATTTCAATACACTGCACGGCATGCAAGGTTTTAAGATTATGTCAAACAATACTTGTAAAAGTACACAATGTACACTTAACATGCGTGATCGGCAGAAGGAATTATAGATGGTAAAATTAACAAGACAAAACTGATATATAACTTGTTCACTATGAGATGACCCATGGAAATAGATCTCTTCACTAAACTGAATATGACTAGAATGAACTCTTCCCACATATGTAAAAAACAAACATTAAATTCACATGCAATTATACACTGTTACCTGATACTTATTCTGACATATGAATAGTAAAAACTATACACTGAATGAATAAACAATCATTACTATGGCTGCATATTCACTGCTAGTGTATACACTAAAAGAAAATAATATAACTTGTTTAATATGTGCTTTAAAGTGGTGTTGTAACAGACCACTAAATTAATTAAATACAGAAATCTTATTTCAATTCAATCAAGTTTTTCTTTCATTCTTTATTAATTTTTGTGACCTGCTGAAACAACTGAAGCATTTGAAAATTCTTCTATGTAAAATTTAATCAAAATTTGTTTATTCATTCTCAAGTCATTTCATGCATACAGACAGATAGAGAAATTTTAATAGGCATTCCACAGTGTTGCAAACATGCCTATAAAAGGTAGTGTAGAACTTATAAGGAAAGTACAACCACAATCTTGCTACTTCTCTAAAATTCAAAATTAAATTTAAAAATATAAATAAAGTATACTTACAAACACATAAACTTCAATTTGAATATGAAAAGATATTCTAAAAAATGTGTAACTTAACTAAACCTGCAAAGACGTAAAATGACAGAATGTAAAAAATACAAGAAAGAAAACATTTTCAGAATCAGTTACAACCTACAAAGAACAAATTTTCACGTTAAAGAGCAATGAATCTTTAGAATAAAACTTAATAAACACAGTAACAACTAGTTCAACACATCCACTGAATGAATGACCACAGGTTTCAAAAACAAGCCTTGATGCAACAACAGGAACACCATGATTTTGATGCTCTTTTAAAAGACCAATGAACAACATGAATGCTGGAGACAAAACAAATCAGCCTTAAATTGTCAAACTTCATAAGCCAATATGGCAATGATAATGACAAATTTTATGTCAGAAAACTGTGAAAGAAACTGGTCACTACCTATTTTAGGATATAATCCTGATATCTGCATGAAGAAATTGAAGAAACCCATGAAAACTTCTTGCACGACAGGCCTGCCTTTCAGCCAATATCTGAACCAGGACAAACAAGTACTATATTGTGAGTAACAATGAATTTGAAAAGGATATTATATGCCCCAGGGTGGATGTCCTCCATTGATGTAAAGCACATAGGTGAAGCCATCTTTACACTTTCCCTTGATGGAGTAATAATAGGGGAGAAAGGAATGTAACCTGAAAAATAAAAACATGATCATAATGGGGGAACACTTGTGTACTGTGAGGGGAGACATCTGAATCTGAATGAGTGATCCTCCATTTATTTAATGACAATTTATCAGTTACACAAAGTATGTAGTACTCAATGGTAAGATGACCATGAATCATGAATCTGGAAGAATATGAAAGGAAGCAACCAAACCATAGCCTAGTTTAAGGTTCAGCATATTCAGAATGACATGAGGCTTCACCTCATGATGCAGACACAACAAGTTGTAAATTTAGGCACTGCTGTAAGCTGTTCCTCTTTGTTGTTCCAAATGAGGGGTACTATCACAGCATATTTGGTGGGAACGACCAACTGAAACCATGAAAACCTCGGTCAGTTCAGTCAGCCACTGGGTAGATATTTTGGATATGTACTGGCTTAGGGTAGTTCAAATGGATAGCTTTTGTGAAGGTAGTGACAACTTAAAGGTTTCCCAACAGAGAGATCTAGTAGCAAAAAATACTTCCTTTATCATAACCATATGTATATCTTCACTTACCTAAAATTACGATGCTCATAGAAGTGAATGGCAGGTGAATTAGTTGTAAGGACATGCAGAAAGAGGGCCTTACATTCCACATGTTCAACAGTTGTAAGGTGTGAAATTAGATTGTCAAGTAGCAGGGAGGCTATGCCATTACGGCGGTGATCTTTGCTCACTCCCAGACTCAATATGTATCCCACTTCTGTCTGTTTACTGAATGACTGTGATAGAATATCACGATCCTGAAACATAAAACTTTTAACATGCTGAAAACTGTGAACTATTCACAGAAAAGGAAACCAGAATAATAAAAGGAAAGATGTGTGAGACAGTCAGAAAGTAAATTTACAAGGCAGGTATCTTCAATATGGATGACATAACATAGATAAGAAACTCATGAATTATCTATCCTTTCACATAGTTTATCATAAAGAGTAAGATGCTAATCATACTGTGGATCACTCTTCTTTCAACATGTGTTTCATTGCTGCTTCCATATTGTCATCAGTATTAAATCTGTGGTCTCCCAGAAGATACTTTTGCTGTATAATCACCTGAAGCAGCATCTGGGAGGCCTAAACTAAAATCAAAGTGAAAATAGCAGAGAAACATGTCTGAAAAAACAGGACACTGACTTCTGTAGGCAGGGATAAAAAAAAGTCATCCCACTGTGTGACAGTTTTAACCTTTATCAACACTATATTCAATACACATTTCAAAAATACACTCAGCATTTAAAATATATTGTATTGTCTTATGGGATGTTACTTCCAACAACACGACCTGTATGAAGTTAGATTTCCCATTTTTTCTTTTGTCAGACTGGGTCGTAAGCAAGGTACTTAAAGAAATGTGACCATCTAGTTATTCATGGCAGAAAAAGAAACATTTCCAACAATCCAATCCAGTGAAATATACCAGTAACTAACATAAGAATTCACAATACAATTATAAATTCACACAGCAGAATCCTTTACAAGGAGCTAACAGTCACTCAGCTGGTCAAAGAATACCCCATGTTTTACAGAGCTCAGAAATTCATTACTGTCACAATAACCCAACAGTGGATATAATTAAATTACTAATAAACATCAGAACCACTATTCAAAAGAAAGCAGCCTTAAAAATATGTACAATTTTAAAACAGAGTACATTTACTCAAATAAAAGACAAAACAGTTATAAATGATCATATTTTTTTAAACAGCAAAGGTAAAATATGTGACCAAATTGTGCTTATAAAATTATAAAACTTGTTCATCACAAAATGCTTATTACAAGTTCCAAATTACACAAAGATTACAATAAGGTGTTAACATACCTCTCGATTTAACTTTACATAAGATTTTATTTCAGCCACAATAAGACCAATGATGATACCATCATAGACCGCTGCTAATGAATAGAATCTAGGATTGGAGGTGATGTCTTCATACCATGAGTAAGGATAATCAATAGGAAACCAATCCTGACAAAGAGCCCGCACCTGAAATACATTTTACAACACTGCTTGAACTGTAGAAATTGTGAACCAATAAATCTCACATGACAAGACTGTATTCCTGAACTGGTAAGAATATGGTAGGACCCTGCACTCCCCTATTTCAAGTTACTACCTCAACTTTTGATCAGAGGGACTCAAAAGAAAAATTATGTAATGCATTTTGGCCTTATAATATGTATATAATGAAGTAAAGAAAGAAACTTTAATGAAACAATTTCTTAAGCAGTTGTGTGTTACGTTGAGTTTCAGAAAAAAGAGGGAATACAAATGGAAACATCAAGATCACACACATTCAAAAATTGTATTGTATATCAGCAAGAAGGCTGTTCTTCTATTACCCATCTTCTGTGTGTTACCGAAGAGAGACGCTGGTCAAGAAAAGAAGTGTGTTCCTTCCTCTTCTAATTTACACAAGAACATAACAGTAATTTCCATAAATATATCCAAGATCAGAATTATCATAACGTAAACTGGGGCATTATAAAACATGGAGTTCCTCAAGGTTCAGTACTTGGCCCTCTGCTTTTCCTCACACATATCAATGATTTACCACGAAGCATTAACTCTCAGTCCAAACACACATTTTGCTGATGATACTAATATTATTCACATCCAGAAATTAACTGCTTCCAAATTTGCAAGAATGTCTTTGCTAGCTTGAATAAATGAATTAAAGCCAATAAACTCATATTAAATTTGACAAAACAAATTTCATGAAATTTTGTACTACCAACAAAAATTATGTTAAGTTAGGTACAGAGTATGATGATAAAACAATTGAAGAAGTAGAAACAACTCAATTTCTTGGCCTACAAATTGACAATAATTTAAATTAGATAACACATATTCAATACATGATGCCTAAACTAAATTCAGCACACTTTGCTATGAGGACTGTCACATCACTCATGAAAACAAAAGGTTTAAAATTAGTCTACTTTGCTTACTCTCATTCGATAATGTGATATGAAATCATTTTCTGGGGAAATTGAATGGACTGCAAAAACGTATTTTTACATCCAAAAGAAAAACATTAGATTAATGGCAGGCAGTAATTCTGTTTCTGACTGTCATAACAATGTAATTTATATTTGTATTAGAAACAAGTACTGTATTTGTGCCATGATGTTCTACATCCTTGGTTCGGAAATAAGAAGGATCTATGGAATAAAAATAAATTCTATTCTAACACATAATTAATACGTAGCAAAACATATTTCGCCTGTAAGTAGTTACTAACCTCTTCCAGATCTGAAGGGCACAAAAACCTCAACTGAAGGTTTGTTAAGCTGCACAGTGGCACTGCTTTAGTCATACAGGATTTTTGATTTAATGGGTATCCAGCATACCTGTGAAAAAAGTATAATTTACACACACACTGTTCCAATAATAGAAACTACTGAATATTTAATTTAACTGTCAAACGTTCCACTTACCAGTTAATTCCAGCCATGAAATGCCCAGTCAAAAGCCAGGCCTACATCATTCTAGTTTTTTGGCAACATATCTAGAAGTACATTCTACATTTCAGTTTCAATTAATACTGTTTTTACAAATGGTAATTTCATACAATTATGTAGTTATTCCCGATAAATTAACAGATGAATTATAGCAAATACACTCATTATCCTCAATGTTTGTTGCCATTGCAAATCACAAATATTCATTGCAACCAATATCGAAAACACAAAATTCTTCTCCTTACATTAGCAACCAACTGTCGACTTCATGAATTCGTTACTCATATTTTCTTAAAAATAGTCAAAACATATGTTTAATAACAGACTACAGTGAATAAATCTTGTGTCTACGATATCCTGCAACGTTCATGCAAATTCGGCTCTACTGAAGCAATAGACCTGAGGCACCTCTCAGGTGACCCTTGGTATTGGTGAACGTGTATATATATATAAAAATGGCGAAAAGTGATACATTCAAGGGTTTCAAAGGTTTAAAGAGTTTTTAAAGTTTATTTTAGTTAACATATGGAAAGGGACCATGATTTCTGAGTGTTTAATAGTAAAATTCCTATTTTCTGAGTACACAAATAGTTACTAGTTATAATTTATAATGTTTATAGTAACAATCACTCTAACCTCAAAAGAGTAATGAATATTTGAATATATGTTAGTGTTTTAGTACAAGGAAATAAAAATTATGTATTCCTTCTGACAGCCTTTCCAGTGAAGTTCAGTGCGGAGAGTACTACACAACATTGGTTATATTATAAGGAACATTCTGTGCGAGAAAAGAATTCCAGTAAACCCACAAACAGAACGCTCTTCATCATAAATGTACCTCCATATTGTAATAAGGTAACAGAAATAACAAATCCACATTCGATGTGTGTATGTGCTTTTATATATATAACTGTAAATGTATTATTGAAACACATGAACTAATAACTTTCCAGGATTGCTTTAAGCGAATTTTCAGTGTATGTGGATCAGTAACATCAGTATTCTTTCATCAGAAGCCATCAGCAGGCACAACACCTCCTGAAGAATCACAGTTTTTCACAAAGTGCCCACGAATTAAGGTAATAATAATAATTATTTTCTAAGTCATGGAATAAAGTCCCAATTATCCAAGTGAAGGAAGGGGAAAAGATGCACAATCCAAAATACTTTATTTGCTGCTGTCACAAAACTTCACACATTGCTTTACATTTTTTCAACAATTGATGTTATTTTGATAAATAGCTTTAACTGCTTGTTTTGTGAACTCTGCCTCACAGCAGAATGAATTTCATTTCCATCCTCCTCACCCTCATCTTCTCCCTTTTGTTTCATGGCAGCATAGACAATGTCTGTCTGTCATGTGCTAGAAGCCCACTTAACATGCATCACTCTGTAGCCATTCTTCTTTTCTTCACTGATGCTTTCAAAATTTCTAATAGCTCACACCATGTACACAATCACTTGATCCCTACCCTTGGCTAATTATATCACCAGTTTTCCATTCTCAAAATTTTCAACAAATTCAGGCTAGTTTTTGGTCTGTGTAGTCTTAGCTATGGACTGCACTATTAAATAAATAATACTGGTAGATAAATACATAGAAAAAGGATCATAAATGTGTAAAATCAAATATTTTGCATGGATATGATATATGTTAAGAGATATATGAGTTATATTAAATATAGAATATAATTTATTTACATTCCATAGGCCTAAGCCAAGGATGTAGAACATATCATAACAGAAATGTAATACTTGTTTCTAATACAAATTACATAGTTGACAGAAAAATAACAAGCCTCTCAGTATAGGTTGGAAGAAATCATGGCAAACCTAGCAGCCTTATGAGCAAGGCAAAGGTTACTGGATCATGTGTGAGGTTAAAATGTCAAGGAATCCTATCTATGAAATGCTTCTGTAAATAATAATTTGCATTGTATGTCAACTATACAGGGATTCAAGGTTGCATATGTGGTGTTTGAAGATAACAGAGGACTTCAGAGGGCTTTGAAACTGGGAGAGAATATGAAACCAGTAATTTTATGCACAAAAGAGACACCCATTTTATGTGGATTACAAAGTAAGTTTTAGTCAGTATGATACGTAACTTTAGGTACATGTAGCTGTAAGCAGGCTGATAGCCACCATCTGTAATCATTCATAAAAACTAGAGAATGCCAAGTACATTTGCTTTACATTTGAATTCCACATCTATTTCTGTTTAAAATATAACCTGAAAGTCTTTATGTGCACATGGTGTTTTACTGCGTATAATTATCAAAAAATGAAATTTATTATGGATACTTTTTCAGAATGGTGCCAAGAATATAACAACAGAATACCAGATATCAGTCTTTTACAGAAAGAAATTGATACTTTCATGGAAAAATTTGATGATGAAGCCCACAGAAAGGCCCTAAAGGAAAAGGAAATGATGCAAGAGGATGAGGAGGGCTGGATCACAGTCACAAAGAGGTGAGGTGAACTACAGTAAAGAAGGTTTCAGAACCAAGAAAATTCATTCACTTGTAACTGAGACATCAGGCACCTCAAATATATTAATATAACATAAAGTTCTGTTATATTGCCATTGTTTCAGGATATTATAGGTACAGTGAAGTGATATTATATTTGGCTAAAATGTCTGAGATAAATTGGTGTTTTCCATGATGGAAGTCTTATAGTACAAGCTAGGTTACTATAGTCTTCATACAGTTGAGCAACACACACAAGGTGTGCAGTGTATTCTTTAAATGGCCATATGAGATTGGGTAGCAGAGATGCAACAGTTCTTCATTGTAAAATGAAGATAATATGTGGGGCTTTCCATATTAATGTGTTGACGGAGGGGTTTTCCGAGATAGGTTCAAGGGTATAGATGCATATTAGCTGGGCTCATTTTAACTGTGAACAATTATGTTCTTTGGTGCATGGTGTATTTTGTTAGGTCACAGTGCTGGAAGGTAAAGTCAGGCAGACTAACATCAGCACTTCCGTAAATAGCTAATATATAGCTATACACAATATATATTTTTCTTTTTTGGAGAGAAATATCCTTCACGACATTTATACAGCAAGCTTCCCGTACCAAAACTTATACAGTTGTTTACAGAATAAGCTATGCCTGTACTGTGCTTCACTCCACTGTATAAACTTAATAAAATAGGTCTTCCTGTAAGATGTCAGTCATAAGAAATACGTAAGTGGGACCCAGTCTCCTACTTTTTAACTACTGAAACCTGTTATTTTAACTTGGACATTATAACCATATACACTGTCATTACATGATACCAATGATATTATCCTGAAGCAATGACAGTGTAGCAAAACTTTAATCATTAAGTTACTATTTTAATCATGTGTTAATTAATAACATATTTAGTGTGATGGAACTACTGCCGTATATTTCTCTGACAGATATTAAGTTCAGTTTTGTTCTTCCCATGAGCCGGGGTAGCTCAGCCAGTATAGTGACTATGGACTGGACGACAGGGGTTCGATCCTGAACAGGGGCAGAGGATTTTTCCTCCAGCCTCTGCATCCATACTGGTTCTGGGGCCTACCCAGTCTCCAGTCCAATGGGTGGGTGGGAGGAAGGGGTGTGACACTGACCACTCATTCCTACCTAGTGCCAAAATAAACAATGAGTAGGAGCTATACCTCCTCTCCCCACAAGCGTGTACATGGCATGTAGTGGGACAGCTTTACTTTACTTTGTTCTTCCCTCATCCTTTTACCTAGTATTCTGTATGGGTGTGATCTCACTACAAGCTAGATACTTCTGCCAGTAAACTGCACAACACTACAGTGGTATTCACCTTTTCCTTTTTCGTAACAGAGGGAGAAAGCCTGGATTTGCCCGTAAGGAAAGCGTTGAAAAGAAAATAATGGGAAAAGAAAAGCAACGAAGATCAAAGAAAGAACTGCGAAACTTCTACAGATTTCAAATACGGGAGTCCAAAATGAAACGTAAGTATGGCAAAATTAAACTTAGTTAATTTTAACTCCATACTTGCAGGGAACAATGTAGCATTGTGTTTAGTGACAAGGTGAAACTTTACCTCATCATCTTGCAACTTGGCCAAAGATAAATGAAGCAGTCATTGTAGTGTGTGTGTGTATGCACAGCAACTGTTATACAGTTTATTACAGAACAGAATGAACCATGTATAAAAAAAAACTTAATTTCCATATTCCTCATGTTCTCAGTTATTCATTTACCCGAACATTCAAGAGTAAATGCTGGATCACTTGGTAATTATTTGTTATTCTCAATTTCCTGGTATTTATAATATATATATAATGAAAGCTATTTTCCATTTTGTTTTTTAGATTTAGTGAATCTGAGGAAAAAATTTGAAGAAGACAAGAAGAAGTTGGCACTTCTGAAACAGTCAAGAAGATTTAAGCCATTTTAATCAATGCTTCACCATTGTCAGATGCTTTCAGTTAATGTCAATAAAAGCCACATGTGAAATAGTAAAATATGTGAAACAAATAAGGCTAAATAAAGGTGTTACAATAATTATCCCACTCAATTGATCACTGCTTATAACACTAGTGGACCTTAATTAGTAAAGCTAGTTGTATTTGTTCATACTTGCTTCATGTTTTTACTGTACTATTCTTTTAATATCAGATTTTCTGAAAACCAGTGTGGTTAAACAATATACTTTTGTGCAAAACCACATTCAACATATTAAACAGTTTTATAAAAATGTGTCACAATATTTATGACATATATAGTACCTGACAGGCTGATGGAATTATACTACCATAGGTTTGTTATAGCCAGTTTGCAATAGGTTATCTGTGGCTAACTTTGTCTACTCAAACACTGACGATTATATACTAACAAGTATAATTTCATTTTTTGTTTTTCCTTTCATTGCCACACTGGCTCTAGGGTCCAGCCATCCTTATCTAATGGGTCTAATGGCCTCATTCCTTGGGGGTTAGGTGGGCAAAATGTGAAGCTGAACACCTCTCCATATAGCGTTGACATTAAGACTCATCTTCCCTATGTCCCGATGGCACAGGCACAACTTCACCATTATAAGTGCTCATAAATATCTAATTTTAGGCTTTTAGGCATCAATTTTATGATCATAATTATCCTATGTATAACATATACTATAGGTCTACAAAATTTCAAAGTGGTAACATCATTTAAGCTTCCTTTAATATATACAATCATGGTCCTTCTCCTGAACCAGATGAATCCAGTCCACACTCTACCACTGTTTTTTCTTGAGATCAGTTTTAATATTAACTTCACATCTATCAAATTAAAAACAGCTTTTTTTTAACCAGTTACCATGGCAACAGCAGCTTCAGTGCTTGTTATAGACGTAGATAAAATGTGCAGTTTACAAAAACATACAAGATCTGCCATAACTAAAACTTGAAAACATACCCGAACAATTTTTGAATTTCCATGCAGTCAACACAGATACCATCATATCCACTTTCATAAATTTCTGTGTGCATTTATTACAATTTGTAGCAATCTATTTTCTGGCAGCATTTCCAGCTGATTGAAAAGTTCTTCTGGAACAAATAGTAAAAAAACTGAGTACTGGAATGAATAGCATGCAAACTGAATTTGAAAAATATTTTATCATTCCCTACTAATATTTTGTATTTCTATCATCTTTCCTAAAAAAATAAAAATTGAAAAAGATTAGAATGTATAAAACTATAATTTTACCATTTGTTTTATGATTATGAAACTTTTGAAAACTATAAGACTGACCACTTAGGATACATAAGCACATGTCAAGGAAAGAAGTAGCTGAAGAAATTCCATGCTTTATGAAACTGAAGATTCATTTGAGGGGAAGACACTGCTGGGGAGACCTAGATGTAGATGGGTGAATAATGTCAGGTGGGATCTATGGGAGATAGGAGTTGAAGGAGACCGGATTCTATTTGCCCAGGACAGGGTCCGGTGGAGGGCTTTGGTTAATTCGGTGATGAACGTTCGGGTTCGGTAAGCCATCTAGTTAGTTAGAAGATTAATTAACTTTTTCACAGAAGCATCCCACTGCACTCTATCCTGAACCGGCTGAATGGAGTCAAAAGCCTCATACCCTATACCTCAAAGATACAGTCTGACATATTTCCATCTACACCTAAATTTTCCAAGCGATCTCTTCCCTTGAGGTATTTCAACCAAAATGTAAATATTTATCATGCCCATTTAATCTCCCTTGACTTAATCACCCTGACCCCACAAGGCAAAGAGAACAGACTGTGAAATTTGTTATGCAAGTTCTTTCATTCCTACAGTATGTAAGATAAAATAAACGTGAAGAGAGAATGTCAAATAGTACTTACGTATGTTTCCATAAACACAGTGGGTAACAAGACCCACTTGTATGACCTGTGCAAACCTATCAAGAGTCTTGTTCACTGCAGTTTCACCCCTCATTCGCACTGATTCATCATCAATTCTCATATGCTCCTTGAGCCATCTGGTGACAGGTTCCACAATTGCAAAAAGATGTTGGGCAGATATTATGTTCTTACTGGCAGATGCTACCACATGATGTACCTCAGGAGGAGGGGTACAGCACTCCAACAAACTCTCCAGCAATGCCAGATGGAGACAAGAATACAATGGAGATTCTAAAGAATCATTAGAATTTGGAATGTCACTGCAACTTGATAAATCAGCATAATGCAGTGGAGCAAGGATACACCACCTGTACAACAAGAAATGTTGACCTTAAAAGTGTTGGTATGGTTCACTACAGTTCTAAAGGATAATATTTCACAGATTTAAATACTAGTAATATGTTTGTTTCTAACATATCACCATACACACATTACAGTGGAACACTAGCTGCTGTCATTACAGCAATATATTTAATACAGTTACCACCTTATTTACAAATTTCCTACATAATTACACTATTAACAACTGCACATTCTTCCAAGGTCCATCAACATATAATTTTTAAAGACCCTAATGTGAATGTTGTCACCTCATGTGTTCATACAGCAACCATGTGACATGGTAATAACAGGGAGATAACTGTTAAGTAACCTCCAATGGCATTACATTCATGCCATATTTCATGAAAAATATGACTGGTTTAAACCGTAGAAATAAACTTTGTCCATTGTCTGGTATTGAAAAGGACACATTTCAGACTGGACTGAGGTTAGCTCTTTCTAATGGACTCAATTGTGTAGTGCCCCTTCCCTGTTCACCTGAGGACAGAAACATCCAGTTTCAGAAATGCTGCATTCTTCTGAATACCAGACAATAGACCAAGTTCAAGAATTTAGCAACCCTAAGTGTAACACACAATTGTCAAAATCATTTAAAATTAACATGTCCTGTATGTTTAACAACCAATTAGTTTGCATTTTTTGTGTATTTCCTATGACTGTCAATTTAGACAGGAATCATTCCTTAAACTGTGTTAACAAACAGATCCTTGTAATGATGTATACTTGGCAGTAAAGACTGAATAATTAAGTATTATTTAGATGAAACTCAGCTTCAAAGGGTTAAAATGGGAGACACAGACAGAAATTTTTTATTTGTGACATATTTAACCCCTTGAAACTGAAGTTAATCTAAATATTTAAAAACTGTGTTCACTCCTCAAACATAATTAAGGAATAATGTTTAAAGAAATTATGTTTATTCTGAAAATTATACAAACACTATGTAGGCAAAATGAAGAGTTATTGAATGTTAAAGCATGTGATATATATAGTTACCACTACTAGTCTGTAAAGGGTTAATGATAGTGTCAATATTTCATATTATAGTGTCAGATGGTAAGATGATTAATGAATAATGAATTGGAATGGACATGGAAGAAAATATGGCATAATTCAGAGTACTATACAGGCATTTGCACAGAGGTACTGAGGAAAACCACTAAGAACTTTAGTCAGGACAGCTGGTCTCCAGGCCAGTATTTGAACTTTGGACTTCCAAAATATAAAGCAAATGTGCTAAATATTCAGCAGCAGTCTTCGGTGCATGAAGACTATCTTTCCTTTTAAAATAAAGAGCAGAAAATCTTAATTATTCTCATCAGGGAAAAAAAGCAGATGTAAGGAAGTATCACTTACCTCCAACCAGTGCCAATGTTAAGAATGTGTGCAGATCTAACATCAAACCCACTACTCAACTGCATGGCTGTCACCCAATATGAAGCTTGCTTAATTTTACTCACTTGAACAAACCAGCAAATGGTGTGATGGCTGCCATAGGAATTCCCCCAAGTGGCAGAGCTAACTGAAGGTTCACCACCAGGGCAGCAAAACACAGGGTGGGGTTATCTGACACCCATTGTGTGATGACTTCCAGCAGCGTGTCAGGTGGGGGACTGAATATGTGTCTTTTCTCTGCATCAGTAACAAGCAATTACTAGTACACTGGCATATGCATGCTCATTTCATTTACATATGAGAGGTGTAGAAGCTGATAAAAAGCAACAGAAATGAAGTTTCGACACAGTATTGAAGAAGAACAAGAAGGGAGAAAATCTGAAGTCAGGATATTAGCTTTTAATTCAGATACTAAGAAAAATATTTATGTTCTTTAATAATTTCTTCATTAATAGTTTTAGAGCTATTATGTTGCCAATTTTTACCATCCTCTCACTTATTGCCACTATCAAAAATGCAAATACCAGAAGCATTATGGATAAATGCAAAAAAACTTTCTAGACCCGCATTAATATCTATGTATGTTGATTTAAAGATAATTAAAGGGGGTGGTTTAAAAGTTAAAGTGAAGGTAAGTTCAGGGGTGCTCAGCACCCCCTAAAATCTCTCACTGGGTGTCAAGACCCATGTTCACAAGAAACTACCTGACCCAGATAAATCCAGTCCACCCCTTCCCAGTGATTTCAATAAAAAACATTTTAAAATTGTCTTCTCATGCCCAGGTCTTCCAAGGGGCATCTTGTCTTCAGGCATTCCAACACCCACATGCATGCTACATACCCTGCCTATATCATGCTCCTTGATTTGATTATCTAAATAATATCTGGTGAATAGTACTAATTGAGAAGCTCCTCATTACACAGTTTTCCCCAGCCTCCTGTCTCTCGGGTACAAATATTCTCAGCACCCTAATATGAAACACCTTGGATCTGTGTTCTTCCCTCAAACTTTATCGATCATGCATCTTTTATTATGTGCAGTCCCGCTGGACATACATCACAATAACCCTGGACTTAAATCCAGGGTGGCAGCCCTGTTGATCAGAGGTTTTACATTCCTATTCATGCGTGATACACGTTAATGTGAGGGGCCTACATAAAGCAACAGCTAATATTATAGTTTAATTTTGATCCTCGCATTTTAGGAGAAACAGAGAATATAGCTATTAAAACTCCATGCAACAATGTACAGAAAATTACGGAAAGTTTACATACACTAAAATAACACTGCAATAAAACTTTGAGCTATAAAATAATTAATTCAGTAAATCATATATTTGCTACAGTAAAGATTTGTAACACTGTGTAAAAGAAATCTTGCAATATAGTCACATCTGTATGAATAAAACATATAGTTTTTTATCACTCATGTTGGACATTGGAAAGTAAGAAACTACAGGCAACTGAAATAGGAGGTAACTCACCAACAACACCATACATTTCAGCTACAGCTGTCAAGAAATTTGCAGTAAATTGTGGTGCAAGTTGTGGTAAGTCTTGGAGACCACTCACAGCCTTTGGAATGAGGACAAAGTAATCTTTCACCAGTCCCTGGGCCAAGTCAAGGCTAAATTTAGAAGTGCAACCCAATTGCTGAAAGAAATAATAAATAACATAGGACATTTTTAACATTTTCAGTAAGATAATTTGGTTTCTGGATTATCCAACCATGGCATTTTATTCACACTTACACTTGTTTATATACAAGGAGACAAAGAACATTTTTTACCTAGTAATGTTGTATCACAAATTATAATAGTATAAGGAATAGATCCTACCTTCATACAACTTAACTGTCACATGGGTTCCCTTTGGAGACCAAGTCGTGGCAGTATAACCAGTATATCAAAGGTAGAGAAAATTACACTTCTAAGAACTATGATAGAACATAACAAGGCAGTTAAAATTACCAACCAACCTGCATCCAAATCCCTGTGGCAGTAAGCACTGGCACATTTTTGGTGGAGCTGGCCATGGAAACAAGTTTGATAAGGAGTCGAGAGCGATCACTGTGGGTTGGAGGGAAAAGAGACATAAAGACCGAGTTCTTTACTGCTTCACTGCTGTTCCCACTGTATGTAAAGTAATCACATAATACTTCAAGAAGCTGCAGCTCTTGGATATAGTTCAGCCTCTGAAATATTAGTATTAAACAAACACATAACACAATGGTCACATTTCTTCATCTGAATATTTTGTTTTACAAACTACCTCACTTACTTTGATGAAATTTGGAATGCGAAGTCTACACTGAAAGTTACTCAGTGAATCTTGTTTGGTTCATCCTGGTTAAGCACAATTCCTATTTTACATGAAGCTTATATCAAACTTTATATTTAATAAAAATGAGAAACATTATATAAAACACAACAAAAACCACACAAGGCTATATAATATCCTAACTGTTGATTAGCTAAGTCAACAATGCATCTACATCTATACTACCTGGACATGAAGACTCTATATATAGATACATTCAAATGTAAAATAACAAGTGGAAATTCTGTGTACTCCAGAATAATATAAAACTCTCCAATGTTGTTAATCTTCAACTTTGGGGGATATAAATTTACCTATGTTTTGAAAGAACTGGACTGATAACTGACAAATATCTACTGTATTCTGAAGTTGAAGAAAAAGATACTTGGTTCACAGGTAGACATATATTTATCCAACAAATATGAATTTTCTGGCAAGTTAGGTTGTGTCACATTATAACTGTTTAGTTTATGTTACCTCAATGTTCAGCGAAGTAAACATAAGTGAAACGTAATTATATATGACAAGTTTGGTGGTACAATAATGTACATGTGTGCTAAAGAGATTCAAATACTCAGTCATTACTTTGCAAAGTTGAAATAATGCAAACCTGCTTACCCTCTTCCTACTTCCTCTTCTGTCTACTTCGCAGAAAACAAATTCTGAGATGATTTCCATTAAGATGTCCACATGTTTAGCTCCAGAGATACGACCACTATTCTGAGTTGCACACATCTGTTCTGTAACGGAAGATAACTATAACAACAACAAATTATTGTAAAGAAGTAAATGTAGACTAAAAAGCAAAGTACTCAAATTTCAATATTTGTACCACTGACATTGTATATGCCTTAAAAAAGTGAATAACAGGGTGATCACACACAAGAGATGACAGTAAATAATATGAGATGATTAAAGAAAACATTAATGTGAATTAATCTAACCATTTACATTATCAACACAGTTAATAGTTACATATGATCTTCATACCATTAAATCAAGAAGTTGCAAAGCCTATGTCTGCATTCCACCAAACTATATGATATACATGAGAGGATATCCCATGGCCAATGGACCTAAAACCTGGAAAATTGGTGAACTATGATTGGTGGTTTCATTTCCACCCTCATTTTTTAAAAAAAAATCTCTCTTCTGCTGTCATACTATCTCTCTTCTATTGACCATCACTCTGCAGTTATGCCATTGTTGAACATGACTGAGTAAATGGCATAGAAGACAGTGTTTAACATGTCAAAAAAGTTCTTCACAGTGAGAAAAAACTGTTATACCAAGCACAATAATTTTTCAGAACATAGTAAATCCATTATTACATCCATGTGAGTACAGTTTGGCAACTCAGCTGACAAGTAACATCATAACTTACTGGAGAAGAGTTGGCGGAGAAAGTGCACAAGCAGTGATCCTTTCTAAGGGTTTACATATGGGATGATAGTACAGTAGTTTAGGCTACCAGCCAATACTATATTATATAACAGATAATAAAATGCTGAAAGTACTGTTGGACGTGCTGTCTTCAAGCATGTGCGATTCATAATGTAACTTTGCTATCCAGCGTTTAATATCCTAAAAGAAAAGTAGTGCTGCAGACCTCATCAAACTTTTGCTCTTGTTTACCGAGTGAAGCTGACTTCGAATTTCGACTTTTCTGTCTGTATCCACAAATATTCATAACTCGTACCAGTCATAGTGCCCCGTTGTAATGAAAATTTAACCTACCAACACGGACTAAAGTTTCTCTTGCACAAAATGGAAAGTCGGTTTTCCTGAGAACATGTTTCAAGTCAGAACTTGAAATGGACATCGCTATTCTGATTTCTTCAATCAAATTAAACTGTTGCAATGAAGTTTAATACCATCAACTATCAAATTCATATCAGCACTTAAAAACAATGAGTGCTGCAAACATAAACGTATCTCAGAAATTCCCTCACGTAACATGTTAGCCACACAAACAGTGAAGCAAAGAAATTTCTCCAAAGTAGGAAGTTTACAGAATTTCCAGACATACATTCGAAATCAAAACATTCTTTATTCTGATCAAATGACACCATAAACGAAATAAATCAGTATATTCTGATTTTAATCAATTAAAATTAATATTTTATAAAAAGAAACAACGAATCATGCCAAGAAACCACTTATACAGAAGGGATAGGTACAATTTTTTAATAAATATTAATGTAACTCATCTCTGAGCATAAATCCCGTTAATATTTCTTTTGCATGACACCAGTGTAATGTATACCAAATTTAGTGGAAGGCGAGAATAAATAGAAAAGTACGTGGTGCGTGAGTGAGTTCTGTCTTCTAGTACCATGCAGTAACATTCATTGCTTCTATTGAAACTGTGTGAAAAAATATAACGGTTAGTTATAAAAACCAATGAAAAATACATCTAAAATGTAATTTTGCAAAGGTCTTCAATCATTTGTATTGAATTTTTTAAAATAAAATTGTCTCAAGTTTTTTAGTATCCCTTTTTTAACTTGATGGCAGTGCTGTATTTGTTATCAAACTAACTAGATGGCTTTCCAAACCTGAAGGTTCATCACCAAATTAACCAAAGCCCTCCACCGGACCCTGTCCAGGCCCAACAAAATTCAATCTCCTTCAACTCCTATCTCCCATAGATCCTGCCTGACATTATCCTCCCATCTACATCTAGCTCTCCCCAGCGGTCTCTTCCCCTCAGCTTCCCAACCAACACCCTGTGCACACCTCTCTTGTTATCAAACTGTCAACTTAATTGCTATTTTTAAAAACTGTATTGATTAATTTTCAAAGAGTAAAGATAAATATTTGGACGAATTTTTTCTCTAATAAAATTACATGATACTTTTTTCATTAAGTCAAATATGTTCTCTTCTTGTCTAGTACAATTAGTGTATTATTATTATTATTCCATCTATTCACCACTTTATAGGGTATTTACTTCCATGTAACCAGGACAAATCTTGTCCCTAAGGTACATAGTGCAGCAGCTATTTCCAAAATACAGTTTGTTTTTAATACGTGCTACATGTATTTTATAGTTTTATTGTTAGAGATTACTACATATTTAATGACAGCATCTTTCGAATGATGTATGAAGATCCTAAAATGGCAGATTTCTGCAGTTCCCTGATGTGTTCGCCTGGAATGTTGGCCAAATATTTTCTAAGTGACTTGAAGGCAGTTCCAATTGCTCTTATAAGTATTAGAATTATTTTTGCTTTCACTTTCCACATTCGCTGTATTTCAATGAGAAGGTCCTTGTATTTCAAGATCTTCTCTTCTTCCTTCTTAATCACATTCCTGTCAGTAGGTATTGCTATATCAATTAAGAGGCAAATTATTATTATTCAATTTGCACATTACAGGTTTACTGAGATAATTAACTCAGTTAAATGTAGAAATACAACCATTATGTTTTCAAGTGATACCTGCTATACCCTTTAAAGTTAAAAAATTAGTTTTTTTTATTTTGTTCACATTATTATTTTTGAGGCCAGTGCAGTTAGCAGTAATGTAAGCATTTCCTGTTCATGCACTAAAGGAAACTTTAAACTACTGGGTCATTTTAAAACCAGTACCATAAATCTCTTCTAGCATTTCATCTACATTGGACAACTGTACAACCAGATTGACCAAGCTGCCATGGACTCATTATTTGCTCCAGTTGTGGCCAATTTCTACATGAATCATTTTGGGCAACTGGCACTGAGTGCAGCTTCATTAAAACTGACCTACTGGTAAGTCATTTTGTGCAACCTTCAGTCTGGCCCCATGGCACATGAACTGGAAGCTCCCAAAGTACCTCAAGGTATACATAGGGCAAACAGGAAGCTCCATGAAGACAAGATGTAAATAACATGCACAGTACTTATGCCTGTACCAACTCAACAAGTATGCAGTGACTGAGCACAGTATTGAAGAAGGTTTGTCACGTCAAAATCAAAGAACCCAGGGTACTGGCCAGAGCACTGGGCTACATGGAGTGAATAGTGAAAGTGATCCAGTTGCAACCAGAAAACTTCAATAGACATGGAATTTAATCTGAGTTGATCCTGGAACCCAGTCACCAACCTAAACCAGCAAAGCCATTGAGCAACTGAAGGGTGGATGATCAACAACCTGAAGTCCAGATATCCAAGTTAAACAATGGCAATGCCTGCTTGCAAAAGTCCACCTACTTTAAGCAACACGGACTGGGTCAGAGAAGGCATGACTTAACTGTGTAACTCTGACACTACTTCTGTTGGCCCACTTGTGGACAAGGACACAAAGCACTAAGAGCCAGCCATAGATATAAATACCGGGTCTACAATTTATGAGGCTGCGGCCGTGCTTGTCTTGCGTGGTCAGCCGGCGCTCTGTTGATGTGGGCGGGAGTTGTGCGCGTTCTTCCGGTGGGTGACAGGCAAATCAGTTTCAGTGCCACTAGTAACAGCTAACTATGAATATTTCTCGTCACTAATACATGTTATTACATTAATTGTTCTTACCTTAAATCACAAAAGATGTTCAAAGTGACTTACTTGTGCTTGCAGGCAACTTCACATATCGTTAACATGTTTCAAAATACTTGACAAAGCTCTTCTTGGGAAATTGCCGAATATTTTCTTTAAGTGCTTCTGCAGTGTGTGGATAAATTGTGAACGTTATGTAAATTTAATAGTTAGACCCTTTTTTACGGTTTCTTCATGCAAGACAATGTTACAGCTCACACAGCTGATCAGTCGATGTTAGCATTAAGAGAAATGCTTGGTGAACAAGTTATCGATCAGTGGCCTCCGCGTTCCCCAGACTTAAACCCGTGCGATTTTTACCTGTGGGGCACGCTGAAGAACAGAGTTTATGTAAACAACACTACTCTGTGAGATATAACCAAATAAACAAAAATAAATTAAAACATTTATTCATGTGTATAAAAAACATACATACACAATTCTTTAATTTAAAGAAGTTCAATGCTGAGTATGTTCCTAGTTTAAAAGTATCAGACACCTTGGTATATACTTGTACTTATTTAAGTTTATGAAACCCAGCATAGTTGCAGTACTGAACTGTGCAACAACAAAGTTTCAGAACTTAACAACCTTGCTCCCAGAAAACCCATCTCTCAACTTCGCCTGAAGCTTCCTGGAGGCAGCGGATTTTGGCTCTGACTTAAGAAAGCTAAATGTCCCTTTGGACATTTGTTTGCATAATGTCCCTTACACCCACACTTAAAGCAAGTCACTTCCTCTAATGGCTTCTGAGGTGGTTTGGCAACATTTTCTTCTGGTGCTGTTCCTTCTTTAGGAACATACATCAAGTTTTTCACCTGAAATAACAAAATGATAAAAATGAGTATATATATATAATCTGTGTAGCAGAAACATGTAGCATGGAGGAGATGAGATAAGCACACATGTGAGTCAGTAAACCTGAAGGGAAAACACAACATGGGAGACAGATGCAGATGGAAAAATAATATTAAAATAATATTCGTTAAACAGAGTATAAACTTTCATTTAAAACATCTTTACATCATGTGTTTACTGAAACAAAATGAAAAATAATTTCTGGCTGCAGTGTGATTAGCTATGCAACATTCAACATGTGCCTGCAGTAAATGAACATGAAGGTAAATAAGCTATGAAAAACAACATGATTGTATTCAGAAAATATGCATAATTGTTACAGTAGAACTTCTAATTCTAAAAAACAGTTTTGAAGACTCACCCTGAAATCGTCTTGCTTGGACTGTGCTTCCTTCATTTCTGGAGGCATTTTGTTACAGTACATAGCTTTGTGACCAGTTTCCCCACAGTAATGACATGTGATTACCAACTTCTTACCATCCTTCTGCTGAACATCTGTAGCTGGCAACTCAAACCTTGGACTAGGAAAACAAATTATAGTTTTGTTAAAATATAGTCTACAATCTATTGTAGCATAATATAAAATACTACAGGGATGACAAATATTTTCACTGCTTACTCGAAAATGTACATGAGAAGCATGTACCAGTAAGAACTGGCGCTACCTGTCCTTACTGCTTCTGTATCACACTGGCAGACTTAATGAGATACCTGATGATACACAGTTTTATAATTCTTTTTCTGTATGTGGCTGTTATGAGAGCAAAAAAGAATAGTACTAATTTGATTTCTAAGACAGCTTCTTAAATTTGATTTGATATATTGTACAGATGAAAATAATACATTATCAAACAGAAAACATGAACTTGTGTTTCCTTGTAACAATCTTCTCTGCATAACAAGAATACTTTACAATATTTAAGATACTGTAAACTCCTGATTAGCCATGTGCAGACTATCTGTATATGACTTTTCTTTTTCTACATAAACATGTAAGCTAGGCTTTCATTCTCTTACTGAACTATCAGCCTCGGGCACAGCCCTACAGACAATATGGTCAAACAGTACATTTTTTCTCTTCAGGGTTAGTATAGGTGATGGTCGTTGCTGCAATACACATGGTGATAGATAGAGGGGATGCTATAGGTGCTTGAAATTGTTTAAGTATTACTGTCTTACAGACAATCCCATTACTTTGTACTATGCAATAGGTGAAAGGGATAGTTAAAGGCTGTTCACAATTTTAAAGCATCTGCATGAAGACAAAAACATATGTGGGGTATACAAAACATGTTTGATAGCAGCATATGGCCCATGATACAAGAACACGATTTAAATAATCACACAAGGTTGGTCTACTAGCTCCAGGGAGCATTAAGTTATTATGATACATACTTTTTCAAAATCAGATATTTAAAATGTTCTAATCAATTCAAAATTTGCCTTCATTACTTCAATACTTACTGCATAAATTTGCATTCTGGTCCCTCTATGCAAAGTCCAGCAACATAATTCATACATAACACACGCCTCACATGGCGATGGCGACAGTTTGGCCCATGCCGACAGAAACCTCTGTCATACCATGGGCAATCCTTTATCTTACTTTCTGGGTCAATATGAAGGAACGGACATTCCTTATTGTGACAAGCATCTAACAGAATATAAAGCTAAATGTTAAATTTTATTAGCAACATTACAAAACTTAATTGTGATAACACATAATTCATCACAATGACTGAATGAAAACATGTACCTGCCATAATTAATTTCACTCCCTTTTCTCCAAATATTTTCATCACAATTTGTTTCCAAATACTTGCAACTGACATACCTCTCCCAAAACCAGGTACCACATTTTATGACCATATAAAACAACCATGCACAAAAATTTAGCAAAATTAAGTATGGCAAATGACTGGCTCCAAAATCAAGCAGGTGCACAACATACCAATCACTTACTGAATCGGGAGTAGAAGTAGCACTCTGGCATTTTGCTCATGTCATACTCATGTAGAAATTCACACTGATCACCCTTTTTGCACAAGCCACGAAGCCAGTGTTTACATACAATTGTCCTATCACCACGAACATGACGAAAAGGGCATGCTGCTCCTTTCTGACAACTGCCTTTTGGATAGAATTCACACACTGCGGCTATCGATTCTGAAAGAACAGGAAATTTAAAAATGGACTCATTTTGTTTAAATGTTTTCAAGAAATATATTATTAAGTAATATGAGAACTTAAACGAAAATTATGGTGCTGAAGGCAACGATGAATCATTGGGTGTCATGGGAACAAAATTATTGTCTGTAATTAGACTGAGATGACCCAAGACGACTACCAGCTGATGGCGTGACAGAGGGCATTTGTTCGTGATGGAAAAGGCAATACTGTGGACAAGTTGAAACATTCCTGAAATACACAAAATGATGTCCCTCGGCGGAAATTCTATCTTATGAGGTGTATAACTATGAGACGTGCTACTGTTACATTAAACGGTAACTTACTATCCATTCCCGCGAAAGGTAATGGCAAAGCTCCATACTGCTCTTCTAATGCTACCTCAATATCAAATTTCATATTATCAACATTAGCCACAATGAATTCCATTGTAAATGCAGAAAAGACGATTTATGCAATAAAAATAACAATACAAAGCTTCCTTCTATACTTCACATATATAACACATATTTCAACACTCAAAACAATAACACAACACTCTCGTCACACGACATTTCAACCACAAATTCCAATCTTGCCAACACAGTAATACCAATATGACATTGTATGGTAATTTCACTATTACTCCGTAGAATTTACCTCAACTAAACATTATTATGAATGCAAGTGGTGATGTTTCCTTGTGTATTTTTTTTTGCCGTAAGTAGTAGTGCGCCTATTAAACGAACAAAATATTACGCGTGCTCTTCCTCAGATTTAAGGTAAATGACAAGGTATAATTCAGAAGGGCATGGCCTACCTTCCACAATTATGATGATCTTAGCCACAGTAATTTCGCACTACCCACCAGGATTCAGAGGCCATGAGCAAAAGCAAAGCCTGGACTCTAAAAATTCAGATAATAAAAGATCCATGATGCTCTACCTAACAAACAAACGGAGTTAGTCAAAAAAATATTATTGGTTACAATTTTAAGTTATGTTTGCAAAGTAAATGGTTCAATAATCATTAGTTCAGTAAAGTTAAATAATATGTGATAAGATTGTATATATATTCTGAACTAAATTCGGGCAGTTTGAAATTGGGATATGTTTCCCACGAATATATTGTAAAAAACAAATTGAGAAATATGTTGCCCACCAACTGTGAATGGGCAATAAAGCTATGAGGGAGGGATCCATCCACCAAGAAACAACGTAAAGCAAAATTGGGTGGGAAATGCATTTCTATGTAAGTATTCACCGTTTGAAACCTGCAATTCAAGTAGGAAACTGACTTCTTGAACAACATATCTCTTTGTTTTATAGTACAACTATACTGTGGCATATGCTGCTGTGATGTCAGCACAGCCAGAGGAAATGGTACAGGGAGATAAATGCAGGACCAGGTCACCTCCCTCCTCATCCTCAAGTGATATCAGGCAGCTCATTACCACCAAACATTCTAGTGATTGCTAACTAACCATAGGGTAGGGCAGCCTGAGATGTGTTCCAGAATAACGGAGTGCTCAACAGCAGTACAGGTTTTATAAATAATGGGATGCAGGGACTGAGAAAAGTCAATTGTCGAATGCTTCATGTATGTTCAAACTTAGCACTGATTGTGCACATAGCAGGATTGAGTGGTTACCTTACCAACCAATGTAATGAGACTACAAGAACAGTATTATGAAGTAGAATGAAATATTTAAACCCAGATAACCAAGACTGATTATAAACCTACTATGTTGTTTAACATTAGGTTGACAGTCTATCTACATAACAATTTTTTATTATAGTTTCAATGTTTATTAAGAATCCACTACATGTTTCAACCTTAACTGATAATCTTCCGGTGGTTTTCTTTAAGTGTTCAAAATTAATAGATATGACTGCTAATTTCTATACATACTTTTTTATGTAGTTGAGTTGAATGGGTAAAGGTGACAGGTCAAGTTACACACCCATGTAACACAACAGATAAAATTACAGCAATAAATCAATTAAAGAAACTTAAAAGAGTTTCATCTACTAAAGTTTCATTTCTCCATGGACCTTACAATGATCACAACATAATGATAACCCTCATAAATGACAGTGTTTTAGCTTTTCTTGACCACTGGAACATAAGTAAACACAGGTAGATGATTCACATCAAAATGGTTAAAAATCTATAATACATATTTACAACATTTCTAGCATGAAATGTGACATACAATACAGTATACCAGATGTCTATCCCCTTCCAATCTTGCACTCTCACAACTTATATTAAATCAACAAAACTGTCATAAGCATATTTTACTTTCAAAAATATCCAGTATTATTTACACTTTCTTGAAAATAGGAATACCGACAAATATACAACATGACTACCATCATGTTAGAAGATATATAGTAATAGCAATAAAAAATCTAAAGTCTACATAATTCTTTTTGTTAGGACATAAAACTGAACATTGTACAAATCAAACAAACATGACTTAGCAACATGTTTATGGGGAGGGAAAGTCACAAAGATATTGTTGGCAGTAGCAAGAACATGGTTCAAATACTGCCATGATGTTGACAAAACATGATTATAATCATACACTTTGATTATATCACTCATACACTCACACACATTACACTTATGGCTACATATACCACGTGATACACAATATGATTCACATCCTTAGCATAAGGAATCATTGAACTGTGTGTACATAAACAATACATCAACTATTATTGTCTAACCTTTCAACATCATTGCAACATAAACAACTGTTAATTGAAGAAGGGACAGAAAACTGTCAAAGGGTTATGATGTAAATCATCATCTGAAGGGAAAAAAAAAAAAAGACATTCCCTCATTAAATTACATAACATCCTTGTACTAAACTCCCACTGCAATGGAGTATATATTCTGCTGGAGGGGATGAGCTCATAGCTCTTAAAAGCAATGGTAACAGCTCTGCCATCTGCAGTGGATGAACATCATCATCTCAGTAATAGCATTTCCCTCGTTTCTTTCTTTAGTTACAATTTATAATAAGAGTACTATCATCGAGCTTATCTCTGCAACTCCACACCCAGGCCAACCCCTACACTGAGCCCGTTACTTTGCTGGCCAGGTTGGCACTGCAGTCCCACTGGATACTGCTGCTGTGGTTGTGGCTGCTGCTGCTGCTGCTGGGTGTTCTGGTTGGGAGACGTGGAGAACAATCCTCATGGAACAGAGAAAACAACAGTCATCAGGACTGTGAGGTCACACTATACTGTTTTAAAGATTAATGAATAGGAAAGGATGTGGAAGAAAGCAGTCACAGCCCAATTTCAGATGTTACCCTAGCATTTCCCTAGAGTAACTGAAGAAAACCACAAAAATTTATGTCATTATAGTGGGCCTCCAGGCCAAGACTTAACCAGATCCTTCCAAATATGAATCAGGAGTGATAACCACTTAACTGTAACATCTGTTACACAGAAATTGATAATTAAAGAGTTTAAATATTAATTATATTTCTTACTGCACTCACTATATAGACTGAAGCACGTGAATGAAAGTAGACATCACAAATCCTTCCCACAGACTCTTTTTCATTAAAAAGCCATACATAACATTAAGTAGTAAATCAGTTCCTGCTAAAGCCGCATCATAATTACAGTGAACTCACCTGATGGTGAAGAACTGAGTTTGTCTCCACCTGTTGACATCCTTGAAAAAGCTAACAGTGCATCAGGAAAGTTAGGCGGTGTAGCTGGTGTGTTGCATGGTGTGCATACCTGGGAAACATAAAATAAAATGTTTTGTGTGTTCATGTTATACCCATTACACTTTCCATGATTACAAAAACCAACACGCAATATAAATGCTATGCTTCTGTAAAGTCAAGTGCTCTATTAATTATAACAAGAGCAGAAATACAAAGAGATTCCAAATGAGTTTTTGTAACATTATATCTCTGTCTTTATGTTTATTTACTGTGAATATAACTGCTCACAGCTAATCAAGACAGTCACAGCACTATATTGAAATATAACTTAGTTTTCCTAGCATATCATTAAGTATACACCATACTAACAGTTGTATACCTGAATGAGATACACATTTCATATCATTCACAAATTTTGATGAAACTGAAAAAACGAATATGGCAGTTTTATTATATGATTATCATCATTATGTGTATATTTTATTCAATTTAAGGCCCACACAAGGTGCTAAATCTATTTCTTATAATATCTTGCTAAGTATTCAACAACAGATTGCAGGTATTTGAGAATAGGGTGTTGTGGAGGATATTTGGGCCTAAGAGAGAAGACGATGGGGCATGGAGAAAACTGCACAATGATGAGCTTAAAAATCTGTACTCCTCCCCCAATATTGTCAGGGTGATTAAATCGAGAAGAATGAGATGGGCGGAGCATGTGGCGCGCATGGATGGGGCAAGAGGTGTGAACTGGGTATTGGTTGGGAAGCCTGAAGGGAAGAGACCGCTGGGGAGACCTAGACGTAGATGGCAGGATAATGTCAGGAGGGATCTATTGGAGATAGGAGTGGAAGGAGACTGGATTGTATTGGCCCAGGACAGGGTCCGGTGGAGGGCTTTGGTTAATTCAGTGATGAACCTTTGGGTTAAGTAAGCCATCTAGTTAGTTAGTTTAAGTATTCAACAACATACACTTTTTGCAGTCAATTTTGAAACAACTTTATGCATTTTATAACCTTAAACCCTGTAACCCTGAGGCCACTATCACACAAACCACAGAAAGATTTTCAAGCTACCAAGCTGCCATCTTACTACTCAAGTTTGGACAATATCATTACATCAGCAAATATTCTTGTATATGGATACATTTTTGTCAATTAAATATAGGTTATTCAATAAAGTAAAATTATATCAAATGTCTGGCACTTTATGCTGTCATAGGTGTCTCATGAAAATCACATTATAACAAAATGTGATAAAATATAAAAAACCCTTTCAACTTAAAATTAATGTTCAAACTACAGCCAATCACAGCATAATTTTAATACATCTGTTATGTTTTCATATTATATTATGCGACATTTTTTCAAAAGTGGAGCAATATGGATGTGACATGAATTATGGTTAGTAGCACAAGGAATCGACACACGACATGTTCGACTAATCCAGTCAGCCAAACTAGTTGGAAATTTGTTTCTCTGTCATCAGCAAGACAGCTAGCAAGATATGTGGAAGTGCAGTAAGGCTGTAGTTGGTTATTTATGTTTGTTTGTAATTTACATAGTTAGTTTCCATTTACTTCCAAAGAGGGTACCAGTGGTAGATAGGTACGGTCTATCTTGAAATTAAAGTGTCCTTCCAAAATGTGATTGTTTCTTTAATTTCTCTATGCCAGATGATGAACAAAGTCTAGAAACCCAGTCACATCATGTAGTTCAACATACACTCATATCCATAACACCCTTGCCATTTCATTAAAATATTTAAAACTTAGACTTTTACTATGCTAAGATAATTATATGTATAATCCCTTGTCTCTCTGAATAGACTAACCCAATGAAGTGCCAATAAAACAATCATCCTTGGCATCAAGTCTGTTTTATTTCTATCTCTCTCTAGTACAAATATAATTCCCTACAGTCCCAAACATACAAATGTTGCTTGTTAAAATTAGGACAAACTGCATAGAGAAGGGCATACTAATGCATACTGTTAGTCTCCTCACAAAATTTAAATTGCAACTGCTCCATTTTGTGTCCATTATGGAAATGACTAGGACATGTTCCAAAGAAAATTGATATTCCAAACATGAATGTCAGAGACATTGTATATGCAAATGTACTTGATGTTTATCATTTGCTTAGTGATCTTTTTGCCCATCATTATCTACCACATTTAACTTTCAATCAGGAAGCACAGTTTGAGTCTCAGCTACAACACCAGCCTTTGCTGATTCAGTTGCAGAGGTTGTCCTAACTCCTTCATATTGTGAATAACGAGGAGATATTCTGAAGTAAGTCATTTTGTATTTGGTCTCATTATTCCACGTCTTCGAACTACATAAAAATTTAGTGTTCATGTTCCAAACTGTACGCGAACGCTCTGTAACTTTAACTTGTGTTGGGCAAGGCCGTGGTCTAGGCAACACGGAGTTTTCCTCCGTGGCATCCCAACAATTACTCCATTCACACACAGAAGAAGGCAATGGCAAACCACTTCTGGATCATCTGTCAAGAACGTATATGAACAGGTCCCAGTCCGAGAAAAGGATGGAAGGATCCTGTTCATATGGACCTGTCGTCAGACAGAACACTAAATAAATAAATAATTCTGATATAGGATATGACCACTTTCATCCTGATACTTTCCAGTCTATCATTTAAAATCTTCTGTTCATCTCACTGTGCACTAAAGAATCTCCACAACTGATACTTCATCATGAAAGGTCTTACTAACCAACCAATCATGATCTCCTTAATTGCAAACTATTTTTCTCTTTGATAATACCATAATCAAAAAGTAATGCAATCATTATTCACTGCAAGTTCCTTCCCTTTGATGACGATGTTGATGATTTATCTGCAAGTCAGAAATCTATCCTTAAAGATGATATGATCATCAAAAGATAGCTTACTGCCTTGCAGTTCACACTCCTAACATATCTGCCAGCTGGCACTGTCACTGAACTCAAGATTTATTTTTAACTCTTAAGATTAAAATGATCCATCATTCTTGGACAGGCTGTAATGCTGTTGGCAAAATGCATTTTTTATTAGGTCTACATTCCTGGATGCCTCAGAGAAGACAAAAAGGAAAACGAGACTGAGGGTCCAGATTCATGTACTGACTCAACATGCTGGCTTCTGTTGTTTGCCTCGCAATGAAGTTTATTAAAAAATAGTTACATTTTTCCAGAAAACTTAAAATGTTTAGGAGAATAATAAACCAAACTGGAATAATGACAGGCAACAGAATGGCATATTATAATTTATTATTAACTGCAAATGGGTTTCTACCTGGTGGCAGTGGTGCTACAATAAGAAACAATAAAACAATGAGACACAGGCAGACTTCTAATAAATTAAGCAGATGTTCCACAGGCAAATATTAAATTAATAGACAAAACAAAACTGTCTGTTCATGGTTTACTTACATCCATATTGTAACATACAGTCCTGTAACAACTAAATACTTCAGCAAACTGTGAAACAAATTGAAGAAGCACAATACAGAAGAAGACCATACCTAAAATGTGTACAATCATAAACCAAACGAAAATAAATGATCTTAGATGTTAAACTGCTAAAAAATGGTACAAAATTCACAGGACACAATGTTCTGTGAAAAACCAAACATAATCTAATGAAGATGGCTGTCTTCTGAGTTGTAATGCAGTGTTATCTGGCATAAGTTTACCAACACTCCTGAGGTCCTTGCTGCCTCCATCAGGTCAACTACGTGGCGGTACAACCCAGAAGACAATCCATCTTAGAACACAAGGCCATGAGAACCTTAAATCATGCAAAGATAATCCAAGTGTGGAAGGCACAACCAACATAAAACAGACCTAGAGGAAGATTCAAAGCAACAAGTCCGGACGCAAAGGTTAGAGAAAGAAATTCCCTGCCCCTGTCGGCGATCGAACCCCGGTCGTCCGTTCATAGTCAGTCACTATATCGACTGAGCTACCCCGGCTCCCTCGAAAGGTTTTTTGTAGCGTATTTTAAGGCAATATTCTGTCTTGCCTGGAGCATATAAACACTCATTCAGGAAACTCGGTTCTCGAACTGAGGGTAACGGTTTGCGGAGCCATGCCTGGCCTTTTGATATCCCCCAGTCGCTCAAAGCTCCAAGTCTCACATATTGATTGTTTCCCCCAACGAAGGCGACTTACTACCGAGTTTTACTATCACACTACTACTAGTGGCGTGGCGCCCGCTCCCTGCCCTCCCACATGGTGTAAACTCTCCGCCTTGTAATGATTACACTAGAGCAGAGGTTCCCAAACTTTTATACCTAGTGCCCCCCTTAAAACATTTCATAAATTTCACGCCCCCCTTCCAGAACAAATGCAAGCAAACAGATCTAACATAAAATTTAGCTATGAGTATACATTTTTTATAATTTAGTATATATTATTCAATGCATTTAATTTTAAAAAAACTGTAATGAAATATACGCTTCATACCTGGATTAGTGGGATGGCTGTGGTTGCTTCTGTGAACATAACTTATCATACCGAGATTGGAGTTTTGAAATTACCGCTCTAAGGTCGTTTTCAAGGTTCATCGTAGAACGATACTTTGTTCTGATGGCTGCCACTGCTGAACTTCCTCAATACGTCGGGAAACTCTGCACTAGAGGCATGGCTGTGTGTCCGCGTCTTTCTGAGTTATGTTGTCCTGAGCTGGTGACGCGACGGGCCGACCGCCCGTACACGGAATCGTACAAAACGTCGGAAAACGTTCAAAAGGCCACGGCACCGAGTGGGACAACAGCGCCTACGTAACACGTATTGCTTTTAACGGTAGTAGTAATAGTAGCAAGACGTCTTTATTGCAAAGTGAAACTGGGTATTGCCATTCTGGAATACTGTTAACATTCGTCTTTAGTATTGTTAAATAGCTTTGGTATTTACAGTAGATTCCGGTTAACTGGGCCATCGGTTAATCGGGGCAGCCGTTTATTTGGGACAAATCTTAAAGAGCAAACCCTTTTAACTCTTTACGTGGAATTTCGCATAATCGGGGCAGCCCGATGTGTCCCAATTAACCAGAATCCAGTGTATTTGTAATATTTTTATGACACTCTTTGGATGAAGAATTTGTGTAATGGCTTAGAAAGGATTGCCACACAGGACCACAACAGTGCTGAGATTGCAGACTTGGCAGATTAGCTTATCCTGACCAGCATCCTAGGTCTGGACACATGGAAAGACAGAGGTACCAAAAACCGAATAAGCATTGACCAAAATTTTGTGGTACAGAAAGATATGGATGTAACCCTGAGAGACTGAAAACTCCCCACCCTACTGAAAAAATATTATCTCCAACAAACTAGTAGACAACCGAAAGGACAACTTCGTTGACTTCTTGATAAATATAATGGTTTTTGACTATAGCGGCTGGTCATCCCTGCAAAATACAACGCTAATCCCGACAAACTTCCTAAAACGACGACTGCGTCATGTTAAAAACATGATTCCGAGAGGCGCTGATGTCATGAGTTACGAATCCCACACAGAACTTGCCTCACCTGTCACTGCCCACAACCCAACATTCTCATACAGTAGTGGCTACACATTGCACCACCCTCCCATATCAACATATTTCATATGTTCGGGCATGGACATTTGTTGTAACATACAATCTGATTGATATCGCACCCGTCTAGTGTAGAGCATCATGTGAGGCAAATTTGTTCGTCATATTGCACATTCTTGTAACTGCTTAATTTTGTCTACAAAAGCTGCATAACATGTGACGAGGCACCGTGGCTCTCAGCATGTGCAGCAAACACCTCGGAAGCAAAAGTGTAAGGAAGAAAAAACAGACATTATTATACTTTCAGCAACACGTTTTCGAAACGTACGTTGAATGGTGCAATATATGTGGCCACTACTGTATTTCTGATGCAGCTGGGCACAGCCCGAATTGAATTCCCGGTCTTTCAATTGCAACGAGGAAGGAGTATATCAGAAAAAGTGGGGAAATGTGTTGTCTGCCCGAAAAGTGGACACAACCGTTCTGACTGGACCAAAGTTCTTGTTTTTCCTTCATTTTACCATACTATTTTACTACGATGTCTCAACTGCACGTTACATAGCGTCTCATGTTAGGGGTTCCCATGATGGTAACAATATGTTCATACACAGTTTCAATCCGCCAAATGGCTGAAACGGGGAGGCCAGATTCATGGTCATAATATTTTTTTTTCATATGAAAAATAAAGCTGGCAGTAGTGCTAAGAGCAAGGTCAAAGCATAGAAATAAATTTTGGTTCCCTCCATTTGAAAGTCCAATTTCACAAGTTATATGAAGACCTATGTATAGGAAAATAAAACACAGTAACTTTCATGAAAACATGTGGCAATGTGTTATTGAAAGAGTTTAACGAAGCAAGCGTGATGGAAAAAGAATGCAAAATAATCGAAAGACGAAGGAATATATAAAAAGGAAAAATGGCATGATAAGAAAGAGCCTGATGACGGGAAACAAATATTTACAGTGGTGAAGGAATAAATGGGAAGTGAGGTGTAGGCAGACAGGTGGGCAGTCAACACTCCCCGCACTGACGTAGGTCAATACCCCGACCTCGCAATACTCCCTGCGCCTAACGCCAACATATCAATGAACACAAAGATAAGCAAAACCACACCCAATCAGCGACTCTGCCGTCAAGTTTCGTACATCATTATGAGCACAGAGGAAAAGGAACTAAAAGAAAAAATCATAAAGCCATGGCTGGAAAAGATAAATTCAGCTGAAGGGAGAACAACATTTTGTTCACGGGAAAAACGGAATGACCGCGACCCCAAAACCTGTTACAATCTGTTACAAATGCTGGGGTTTATCTCCAAAAGTTTCTAAGCTCTGAACAAAAATGTCTTTCTTTTTCAGTGTTGAACAGTTGCTGAAGTTTTACAACACCAACTCTGTAAGCATTCTGGACAAAACCAGCTAGTGTCCCATCTGCTAACTTCCGAATAGTCAATCGATATACCTCTCTTACCACTCGAATCAACACTTTAAGATTTAACACGGCCAGGTATCTCACTCTCTTGAAATCCGAACTCAAAAAAATCCTCAGCTGTACATCTTCTTTTATCTCCACAAATGTCTCGTGGAATTTTGGCTAATTTTGCTAAATATTAACGCCGCTGTTCTAAAAATTATCTCCCATTTTAAAACAAAGCACAAAACTACTACAAATGAAACTGCACCAAGAGATATTACTGTGTAACGCTCGTAACACAGAATCACATCGGCGCCCTAACAAATCTCCCACCTGTCGCACAAATATTATAGGTCTCGTTTCTCAGACGTTGTGTTCATCATCAAAGTTCCATCTTAACCGGTTTTCGATATGGTGTACATTTAATGAACACAAATAAATAGTATCTGAGGTTCTCACGGCGGCTAGGACGAAGATGATCCTGATGATGGAGGGAGCAAGGACTGTTGAAACGTTGGTACACTTCTACAAGACTACCCGGTGCTACAGCCGTCTTCAAATAAACAATTGCAGCATGTCCTTACCGTTGATATGCTTAATCAACAACATAGCCTAGTCTATGGCTCAGTACCTCTACTCGTCAACTATACATTTACTGTCCCTATTATGTTGATACATAAAACCGCAACGAACACAATTGGAAATAAAAATTTACCTTCCCACTCTTGTTATACAAGCAAAATGTTTAATACCTTCGATAATTCGTTATGCAGCACCGCACAACATCCGTTACATACTTTATTCTTTATCCCATGACTTACATAATTTCCGAACGCGTCTGTACGCCATTACTATCTTTTAACAAAGGCTGTATACAATAAAACAAGCTGGCTCTTGTTAGTTGTTGCAAAGCATGCACAGAGGTAGCGCTATAGTTAGTTCCATACCCAGTACTTAAAGGAAAACAAACACAAAAGACTTTAACACGTTCTGCGGGAATGTATAAAAAAATTTCGAATGCATCGAACATTCACCCTGCATATTATGAAGACACATAATGCCCACCGAATGTATTATTTTTATCATCCATGGGAAACGGAACGTAAATGTAACAAACAGTGCCTAAGAGTGGGAAGCTGAATTACAAATCAATATCTCTTTGATTCCAGACTAGAAATCATGAACTAAATGTCACTCATGGTTATGAAGGAGAAATGCGTACGAAAAGAATTTCCCGAATAAAATGTCATTCTGCTGGGTAATCACGACACGGCAACCTACTCTTCACTCACTCACTCACTCTGTGGCGCAGGAAATTCTTTGAAAAGTCGATTGTATACTCGGTTTGTCAAAGAATAGCCCACTTTCTCACAAAAGCTCGCCACTGGACTCTATCCGGCAACCTACTCTTCC